CATGAACGGGTGACTCCTGGGCCAAAATGTCTTGCTTATGAGGAAAACAGAAAAAAATTTATGAACGCCAGATGCCTGCAAAACACAAATACCGTACGTCTGTGCGAGACACAGGGAACGCTCTCTTCAGCCACCGAGGACTCACAGCTCTTGCCTGAAGCATCTTGAATCCATAGGTTTTTTTTTTTTTTTTTTCTTTCTCTTGCTCCTGGGTGCATGATCCTTAAGGATGGCTCAAAAATGTGTTGTGTTACCCAGCTGCTTCGCAACAAACTTCACAGTGATGGCTCTGTTTAGAAAACTGCAGCCAGGCTTTAATTTCACGAACTGGCAAGTCACACTGACTAAGGTGTCCTTGGTCAACATGTTTGTGGCATATAACCAGGAGGTTATGTCAGTGGATTGCATGACCTTTAGCCTTTTTTCTTAAAATAAGTTTCATAATAGAGAATATATATACCGGTATATATCAACATGTAAACATTTTCTGCTGATTTAATTAACAAACATAAAACAACCAGTTAAAATCCAGTTTCAAACAGTTATATAAAAACAGGATAAAACCCAGTAAGTAGTTGTCTGTAGGAACCAGATGCATTAGATCAACAGTATATCCTTTTAATAAAACAGTTGGGTTTAAACATTCATTAAAAATAAAATTTAATACAATTATGTTATGTGACCACCTGGTTTACTTACAAAATTTTATACTGTTCTGAAACTATTCTGAAAACACTAGGTATTTTTTCACCTTTACACACACACACATTTAGACATGAAGGACTCAATATATATTTATGAAGTCCTCATGTTAACTGTAACCAACCAACTTCTTGCTAAATTCTGGTCCCATATTTGTACACTATCATAAACATTAGAGGTTATTCAAAACGGACTGTTTATCCATTCCTATTTATTGTGGTTTCGGTTAGGATAAATCCAGAAGCTTATTGTAAGGCTGCATTATCCATTCCAAAAATGTTCAATATTTGAGAAGGAACCAGTTACACTGTTAGCAAACATCCGTTGTCTTTAACCTTAAGATGTAAATCAGTTGGTTAGGGTGTTAAAAAAAACAGAAGCTTGGTTGTTCTAATCCAGTTTCTAGTTCAATGTGGTCTTAAAAAGTGGAGTTAAATGGTGCCAACATAATATGAAGCTATTATGCTAAGCTAATATGTATCTATGTCAATGCATGTGTATATATGAGTTATCTATACTGCTTTATGTATGTAAAAGACCTATAATATATATAGGGAGAGAAAATTGACAAAGAGTATAAAAGGGTGGGAGTTAAAATAAAGTTTTAAACTTCTCAGCACCTTTTAAAATTTGCATCTTATTAATTTCTGTTATACATTGATTGCAATTGAGCTATTTGTACTTTAACTGTAATATGCAATTACCTTCCACTGCACTTTAATTTAGATAGCTTCTGTCCAAACTTTATTTGTTCATTTTATAGTAAAAGCCATCTGTATATATGCTATATGCTATTGTACATAACTGTAAAAACCTTTTTTACAGTAATATCCACCTGTATATTATATTCGGTACATATCCAGCTGTAAATTTAGTTTATAATACTAGTGAGCTATATATTATATTTATTATTTATAATGGTATTCATCTCTATACTTATTCAGTAGAAACCCATGTCCTGTATTTATGGAACCATTATTTATCCTGCACTTGCTGCAATTGCACTTCTGGTTAGACCTAAACTACATTTCGTTGCCTTGTACCTGTACCTGTGTAATGACAATAAAGTTGAACCTAATCTAATCTAATCTTTATGTGTTTAACATACATATTCTTTTTTTTTTTTTGTTCAAAGTACATTTAATTCATTCATAAATGGCTTCAACAAGCATGTGGTTGTACTGCAACTTTAAAGAGATGATAAGCAAAAAGTACTGGGACTGTATGTTTTTATCTATATGTGGAAGCATTGAGAAAATCCATTAAACGTCGGCTTTTTATTTTAGCCATTCCAAAAAAAAAAGAAAAAGGAAAATGATGTCAATGATATACCCTTCTGATCAGAACCATCCATCTTATTTAAAGCAAAAGGGATTAGGTTAAATCATATTTCAAAGACACTTTCACACCAGAACAAATATATATATATATATATATATCATTTATTAATAGTCAAAAAATAACTTGTGGAAATGATTCAGCTAGAACAGCTGTTTGCACATTTAAGACTAGGCAACAGGTGAAAAACAAATAACAATCAGATAAAGAAAAGTTCCCATTTCTTGGCATGCTCCTGTACCTCTATAGGAATTTAATTAGCCTTCTTAGGCAAAACGTTAGCAGCTAGAGAAAATGTTTAACAAAACTCTCAATCTATGGATTATTCTGAGAGTAAAGGTAATAATGACCAAAGCTGCTCATGGGAATTAAAAATGTACATATTTTGCTGTCATTTCAAAAAATGTTTAAATTCCCTACCTGAAATGATCTCATTACAGCGTTATTAATGAAAAACACTCTTTGTTAGACGGCCAAACGGACTCCTTAGCTTAGGGACACATTTCTGATAAACCTGAGGAGTGAAAATGACAATACAGAAAATCTCAGCATGTCTCCTTTACAGGAAATCAACAGCGGTGACTCATCCAAACAGTCTTTAGAGTCCTAGAGAGGACACTGCAGCACTGATGCCCATATGTAGCAAACACTCATCCAGTTTCCTGGCTTTCTGCCCCCTCACGCCGTCGAATGTTTTCCAGCAGTTGCTGCTCAACCCGCCGATTAAGGCGCTGGAGGTCTTTCAGGTGGCTGGGTTGATTTTCCAGCTCCTCTTGAAGGCATCGGGCGATTTCCAGCCTCCTGTAGTCCTCTGGTCGCACCAGACGCCGCACGGCATGAAGAGCTCGATCCTTCAGGCTGTCAACTGTTGAAAGACAGACAAACGTTTTAAAGGAATTTCTCATTTTATTAAATCAGTGCTTTTTATTTCTGATTTTTTTCTTACAATCAGTATTTTATCAGAGACAGCAAACAACAGGGCAGAGATCAGGATCAGAAAATTTACCCTCTGATCAGTTTTAATCAACAGAATAGAAGATGAAATGTTTGCTTTTCTTCCCTCTTTATTACATACTGAAAACTAAAGACCTATCATCATATTGCCTGTATGAATACATCAGGTAATTTGCAGCTTGAGATATACACTTCAGTGTATTAATTTTTTTAATTTCATTTTATTTTGTTATTAATGTGCTTGGGACTTCGATTCTGTAATAAATCAATCTTATCTTAATAATAATCTTAGTCTTAATTTTTTCTTAGTCAAAAACAAAAAAATACTTCTAGGGATTAGAGAGAGTACCTAGAGATAGGGTAGAGCCCTTTTTACCTCTTCTGTTTTAAGGTCTGCAGGAGGAAAAGGGGTAGGTAGAATTCAAAAATTAGAATTCAGATATTAAGGGGGACTTAATTACAATTTTCATCTTAGATCAACTTATTGAGCCAGCGACGCCCAGCAGAGGGCCAAAAAGACAGAAGAGAAGTTCGAGATCAAGCGTGAAAAAGCACAAAAAAGAAACACCTGATGCACAGAGGGATAAGACTCGAGTTGCTCTTAGAATCCAACATGAAGGTTGGTGTTTACTAAAGTTGGAACTGAAACTGTGGAGGCATTCAGATTTCTCTGCCAAACTGATGGATGTACATCAGCCTTATTAATAATGATATTAGTGGTAGCTAGAGCTGGGTAATATGCACCCAAAATCTTACTGCAATATTGGGTGATATTATATTAAATCATTATTACATAAAGTAACAATAAAAAAAAACATTGCTTCTTGGCAGTCGTTCTTTGTTAACTGTGTGTCTTTGACAGCTTGCTACAGCCATTATAAGCCACAATCACTAATAATACTCTTGAACAAATGTACACTTAAAATCAGGTTCTTCAGGACACCAGTTACATAAAGAAGTATGATTTATTTCACTAAACATTTCGTAGTAACTGCAATTAATCATGTTTCGGGAATTTTGAATCATCATTGTTTCCAATTTTACCATTTAGATAACAAGTCAAAACTCTTATCATAACTAGAACATTATCACAATAAGAATACGATAAATGCCCATCCCTAGTAAAAGTAATGCTATTTTTAGGCCCTTATTTAGGGAGAGAAAACTTTATGCAGTATGTAATAGTACCATTTACCATTGTTCAAATAGCGATATTAGATGCCTTTGAAGTATCCCTCTAGAAGAGCTCCATGGAAACGAATATATTTTATATTTTGTTTTTCTCGACTTTTTAAATCTGTATTCAAAACTGGCATGAAAGTTTGATGGAAACACACTGATCGCCTTTTAAAAATTAAAAACTACTAGTTCTTTGTTAATCCCAGCAGATGGCATAATAGTGTTGCTTCAAAATCATCTAAAAGTTTATTTGATGCATGCACCTACCGGTGGCATAGCAGGGGAATTACATAAACTTGAGGGTTTGGACTGGTTTAGTACGCATGGAGATTTAATGTAATTTTTTAAAAAATCTGAAGTATTGACAGAAATGGAAAAACAATTGTGTGGTGTTTCTTAATTTCACTTTTTATGCACAACAATTTTAACAAAAAGCCATTATAACACCATTGGGAAAAAAAAAAACACTATAAGAAAACATTTAACACTATTATAAATCCACCCATCCATTTTTCTTCATGCTTATCCCAAACGGGGTCACGAGGGGGGCTGGTGCCTATCTCCAGCTGTCTACGGGCGAGAGGCGGGGTTCACTCTGGACAGGTCGCCAGTCCATCGCAGGGCAACACAGAGACAAACAGGACAAACAATCATTCACACACACACTCACACCTAAGGACAATTTAGAGAAGCCAGTTAACCCAACAGTCATGGGACTGTGGGAGGAAGCTGGAGTACCCGGAGAGAACCCACGCATGCACAGAGAGAACATGCAAAGTCCATGCAGACAGACCTAGGGCCAGCTGCAAGGCAGCAGTGCTACCCACTACGCCGTTAAGCAGCCATTATTATAAATTTCATAATAAATGTTTGTAGATACATATATATATATATATATTGACAAGTCCTACCTTGTAAAGTGATATTAACATAAAGCTCGTCTTCATCTGATGGTTTGGGAACAAATAGCTCTTTGTGGTTCACTTTTAAAGGTTCATCTGTCCCTGCATCTCTGAAGATCCAAGGGTGCCCTGAGGAAAAGAAACAGCAGAGTAAAAAACATATTAATAGTGAAAGCCAATCCATCTACTGGTTTATCACTACCAGATTTTTAGTTTTCCCTCTGCCACTTCATATGATCCAAGATTAGAAGTATGTACATTTTTTTTAGGTATCAAACGTCTGTTTGTAGACTGAAACCAGCAGCAGAAGTTTATTCACTCAATCTGCAACAATGCAGATCTGGTTGCCATGTTAACAGATCTGCTGATGTGACACCAGCCTCTGAAGGACAGGGATTTCCTGAAACAGATGATTAGCATCTAGCCAACTAGCATCTAGCTTTGAGACCAGCTGGAACTTGTTTTTGTTTTGTTTTTTCCACCAAACGACCTCTTATTGAAGATTTGTGTGACTCCAGGATGCACAAAGAGAATGGAGCCCTGCTGACAATCCTTCTGGGTCTGCCTTTGGCTTTTTAATTGACAGGATTCTGTAGTATGGACGAATTGGATGAATTTCACACTCAAACCATTTATACATGCTTACTCTGAAAAATCTAAACATCCATTTCAAAGGAGCACATCACAGTATATTTGTTCTGTAGCCTACAATAAGAGGTGAGATGTTTTAAGAAATGATTTGTCCTACTGGCCCGACTACATAGCACCATGTATCATATTCTCCGTGGCCAATAGAGCAACTGCAACAACCATGACGATGGCCAAACTTGGCTCCTTATCACATGTCTCAAACTTAAGGCTCGCAAGACAAATCCAGCCCCTTAATGCAATAGATCCGACCCTCAAAAGCAAAATAAAACCCATCATGTCATAAAGAAGAGGCATATTTTTTTTATGTACTAAATAGGGTTGTCACGATACTAAATTGTTCAACTCGATACCGATACTAAGGAAAATATACGATACTCGATACCATTTTCGATACCACAAGGATAAAATTTCCAAATTTCAACAGAAATATTTTGATTAATAATTAAAATACAATAAACAATAAGAACAACATTTTGAGGTTGTTTGCTGTGCACCGTATTTAGCAAGCTTGATAAAAAAACGTACAAAATTAAAATTAAGTTTTCCTTACTTGGCTATGCTTTACACACATAACAATGACACTAGCCAAACCGGTTAAGAAACAGAAAATAATTCTCAGCAGCTGCACCTGTTACAAAAAAAGTCTGAAACTGAAAAGTGCGTAGAATTATTCAATCACACAGTGTTCTGAAAGTGCATTTTCCTCTATTCTGCACTTTAGATGAATGACTGTTTAGGTGCCACTGGTACTCGATACTTTTGAAAATGAGTATTGTATCCGGATACAACGTTTCAGTATCGATACTTTTATGAGTATCGATACTTTTGACAACCCTAGTACTAAAACTAAAAACATTAGTTTGACACCCCTGCTCTACATGGTATTTTTTGCAAATACACAGCACTGAACCATATTGTCTTGCAGTGGATTGTAGTACCTGTTCATTATCATTGATGAGGTGTGAGTTTATTAAACCCTAATATTACCTGCCTGATGCATGACAGAACTAATGTTTCCCCATTAGATTATCCAATTAGGACAGTTCCTGTCAGGATATACAGTTATCATCTTCATTCTGTACATGGCAAAGATTTGGGAATGGAATGAGAGCGGTGTCCTTCATCTAAAAACAAAGTGTAATATTTTGATAAGTTGAAGCCATGGATGTCTCCTCTTCTGCAAACGTGTATGATGTAATAATGTGATGATGCGGCAGGCTGGAGATGTATAAAATGATTGTCTAACTGTTTATCGGGGCCCACTTCACGAGACGTGAGCCCGGTTGTTAAACGCTGCCTTCTGTAATCCTAAACAACTTCACTTAAGATTACAATTTCTATCAGTGATTTATTTAATATTTAATATAGCCACATAATGAAGTGTTATTTAAAGAGTTTGTCCCAAATTATCTCTTTTCAGGAAAAAGAACCGGAGTGAGAAAGCTTCAAGGTGTAAACACAGAGCTTTCCTTAAACATAGCTGAATGACTGACTTATTGCTACACACATAATAAAGAATGATGGAAAACAGTCAATGTGGGAAGTGTAACTGCTGTTGATGCGAGTGCCATCAATATTGAAGGCAGGAGTCAGATACCATCCTGATAGTTGCACCCACTATCTCGTTTGTAAGGATTGTTTAAGTTGATCATTTCAGCCTCCAAGGACAAAGCTTGGAGATGAGGGGATTCTGATTTGGGGTCATTTTCTGAAGAGTAAAAAAATATTCCATTAGCAGATCATCCTATTTACCAGCTCAAACAATGGGCTGTTTTTTTTTCACCCTATATATATATATAATTAATTAAAGAAAAAAAGAAAAAGAAAAAAAAGGGCCCATCCTGCCCCCGGCAAAAATGTCCTAGAGCCTCCACTGGTACCAAGCATTCTTTTGTTATTATAAAATGATGCTCCGTTTTAGAACAGTTCACAGAGACTCATCTCCCTGATTCATTGGTTTGTTCCTATGAACTCCTGAGCTGATAAAGCTCACTCACTCACCGACATATGTGATCATTCTTCGTCCAGATCCTGGCTGTAGGTCATCGTAAGGTTGTGGCTCTCCCCGGTAATCTATCCACAGCGGCCGGACAACGCGACTGGTGCGGTTACAGAAAACAACATTACGAGGAATGGCGCTGTTCACAGATCGAACTAGGGGAAGAGGCTGCTCTCCTTCCTGAGGCATTGATCCTGATCACCGACAACAGTGGTGCAGCGGCTGACAAGAGTTGGGCTAGCTAAAATTAACCAGATGCCCCTTTTTTTACTTCAAAGTATACCCATCAAAGTGATAACCGATGTGTCTATTCTCTCTTTTGGTTTGTTAAATCAGCTAAAAATGTTATCAACATAAAAAAACATCACATTTGAAAACAACACCTAGCTGCTTAGGCTCCAGCAGGATACATTTCTCTTCCGGTATCGACGCTGTATTATTCAGCTTCCTGATTGGTCGAAAAGCTATGACGCAATATCATGGCCAGATCCATCCTATCAGAGCCGTCGAGAATTACGCTCTGCATCCTATTAAAATGACTCTGAAACAGACGTCCAATGCGTGCGGCGAAGAGGGATTGTTATGGCAAAAAAAAAAATATCTTAACTTCCCCAGTTGGTGGCGGTAATGCACCGTATAGCTCTTGGTCGAACGATATAAACAGACGAAGAAGATGCTAGTTATGGCTGTTCCGTGACTGAAGCTTCAAAACCCACAACAGCTACAGCAATGAATCATTTGTGAGCGTTATTAGGTGCATTGTTGCTGTTTAGTGACAGTATGATGTCACACAGGAAGAAAGGTCGTTCGGACATGTGGGGGCACTTTAAATTAATCGCTCCTGATAAGGTAAGGATGTAACGTAACAACAGAAGATGCATAATAAACTGTAACTGAGTATGGTCCATTTTTTTAAAGGGGATATATCATCATATTTTGATGATATTGTAATCTACTCGTTTTTTTAAATATTAAGGATAAATTAATCAAAAATCGGCCTCTTCATAATGTTTAAAAGCATGGGAGTGTGTAATTTTTAAAAGAATTTCTGACAACAAAAGCATCTTTGTGATCACGCCCCCTTAAAGAGGACCGGTGTTCGGTCAGTTTGGCATACCCGCTCATAATAGCATACCGGAAGTTCATTTTTATAACTGTACCTATCAGATCAAAGTACCTTTATATAAACAGCACACCAGTATTTATGAAGCTTTCACTCTTTATTTAAATAAACACAGTTAATGGAGCAGTTTGGCAGCTGTTTTCCATACATCTCATATCTAAATGTGCTTGAAAAGAAATGTTTTAATAGACACAACAAAGAGCTGGAAGCAAAAACATCAAGCGAACATAAAGGAAACATCTACAGACATTTGAACAGACACCCCAAGTTCCAAAGACTCATTTCATAGAGATGCTTAAAACAATTTTTACAGACGAATTTAATAGTTTTTTCTTGAGTTCTAATTCTAATTTTTTTGGAAAACTGTAGTTTTAACTATTATATATTAAGTCAAAAATATGTACAATTCTTGTAAAATTATAAATATATATTGACCTCATAAGAAATAGAATTTCTATTGAACCTAATTTAAAATACATTTCCCTTCATGCAGTTCTCTTAGTATATTTGAAACTCTTGCCCTGATTATTTATTTCATGCTTTTCTGGGCCCCCATGAAAACATGCTGCCCCCCTCCTGGCCCCCTGGTGCATTTGGTCTAGATCTGCCACTGTTCCTCACCTTCACTAGACATGGATATACTTTAGTATATTCTGCTGTAAAATTAGTCTTATATTTTCATTTTTTACTCAAGGATTCAACCTCTGCCGTTTCATAGGATGCACAGCTTTGAATGGTAACTAGGTGACTGCCAGAGAGCAACCCGAAACATATCGGACTGATTCAATCAGTTCTCTGATCAACCAGTCACCTGGAATGCTTGTTGAACAGAGCATTGGTTTGGACACTGCACAGGTTTCATAAGCAACCTCCTCCCCACATCCCGCGCTCTGTTGTTGTGTCTGCGCAATCTCAGTAGTTCTAATCCGCACATGATGCATGAATTATTGCCTGCCTGCTCTCACTTGCATTAAAAAAACACCACCTCGCAGAGTCTAAATCCGGGATAATTTATCCGACTCATAGGGATCCGTGAACAACTATCTATATCAGGGATATATCAGTCTCCCGGAAGTTCCGGGAGACTTGGGATGTCTGTTCAAAACAACATACAACAACAAAAGCTAGATCATGTATGATTGAGAAAATTAAATGAAAAGAAAAAGAAATTGAGTTTGCTGAACAGCTTGTGAAAAGCAGCTATGTTTTATTTTGCTTTCAGGTATGACAGCATAGCTACTGATCTGATGTCCTATGTGAGTGTGGCTGTTCTTTTTTATCTATTGGATCAACTTTATCAGGTTAACAGAGACTGGATGTTTTTATTTGTCCTATGTTGGTGAAAAATATTTGCCAATGTCAGGGACTGCATCTGCCATCCCTTTATCACTATCATTGTTACGGTGGTTACTGGCAATTAACAGGGTGACTCGGCTCACCACAGAGCACATCCAAATCTCACCATTGGGGTACTGGTTTCCTAGGTCTCAGAGCTCCTCTGATCAGACAACCTTAATCAGAACACCTCACAGAGCAGGTCATTAGTTTAACAACTGATTTTTGAGATGGAGACTTTGCAACTACTACCTTGTCTTGGATGATGGGTTGCATTGATTCAGTTCAGTTTATTTATATTGCATCACTTAACAACACATGTCCTCTCAAGAGCCTTTACAGAGACAATTTACCCAGATCATACAGTCAGAGTAGTTTAAAGTTTTCTGTCTAAGAAAAACCAACTCATTGACTTGAAGATAATCCCTCACACTAAGCATGCTTAAAGCAACAGTGGAGAGGAAAACTTCTTTTTAACAGGAAGTAACCCCCAGCAGAACCAGGCTTAATGCTCAGTTCAGTGTTCGATGTGTATTTACTCTTTACCAACTACCTTTAGCAACTACCTTTCTATTTAATATATATATTGCTTTGGTTGGTGGAAATGAATGTAACTACTGTTACAGAAGTTGCTAACCTAGCTTTGAAAAGAGTAAGTTGAATTGAGTATATTTACATTTATTACATTTAGCAATTTAAAGAATATTCTAGAGAAAGAAAAGTGAAGCTATCAGGGCATGACGTTTCAAAATCAATCTGCATTTTTACTTTCAAGTGGCTTTTTTACAGGTCCGGTGCTTGTTGTGTGTAGCTGAGCTGAAGTATCATGGGAATACCTCCTCTATGATTAGGCACTACGCTAGCAAGCATGGATCTACATTAAACCAGGGGGAGATAAATAAAGGTAGGGTATATGTAATGATTATTAAAACAAAACAAACATGTTCCATAAACCACCAGCTTCTCTTACATTGTATTATTGTTTATTGTCCTTTATTTGTGTATTTGTCTAAGTGGATGAGAAGCCTGACCTAGATGAGGCTCTGGTGAACATGCTGGTAAAAGAGCCAGAGCCCTTCTCCATAGTGGACACATTGCTTTTGAATGACACTGAAGAGCCACCCAGGAAGAAAGTTCGCTCTGACATGTGGGAATATTTTAAACACATCAGTCCTGATCAGGTAGGTGTACTGGCTCTTTGATATGTAACATAAAACTAGAAAGATGCATAAACGATAGTAAGTTGCAGTTCATATAATCATGGTAGTTGAAGCTAGTGGAGTTGATGCTCCTCGATTTTCACCAAATATAAATCTTCTTGCCTCCTAAAATCTGTCAAATTTACAGTCTGTGTTCATGTTTACGAAAATCAACAACTTAAGGCCTCTCTTTTGCTTCCTGTCTTTTTCTACTGGATGAACTGATTGATCCAGGTGTGCCTGACCTCAGTAACCAGGACCAGACACACCTGGATTAATCAGTGCATAGAGCCCTTTGCTAATTTGTAGCCCCTCCTTCCCTTCAGAGTTGGTTTTGATCCACCTCTCTGCATACATGTCAGTTTGTTTCACCAGCTGCGTTTTCATTAGCAATCAAATTGTAATCACAAAAATAAATTTTTGTTTAGTTTTGTAAATAAAAAGTTTTTACTTTTCAATGAGGTGGTTTTTCAGTCATATCAAAAGTCTTATATTTTGTAAAACTGCAATGGAGACACTTTTTTCGCATCAGACGGGTCACATGATCTGCAACTGGACCTTTCTGCCTCGTAAAACGGATGAAGAAGACATTAGAACCGTGACTGAAATATCGATAAGTCTTGTGGGCTTTTTTTTTTCTTATATGTCCGCCACAGCCATGTAGATTTCAGAGTCATCATATGAAGAAACCTATTCACATGTAATTTTAATTGTTTGTTATTTAATAGAAATACTGTAATTTGCATTTTAGCTGAATATTGACACAATTTAGCAGACATTGTAATGGAAATGCAGCTACTGCGATTTTATCCCTGGGACAGTTTATAGCAAAGGACAAGAATGGCTTTATTAACCAAATGTAAAGCAGCTTTTACACTAATCTGCATCTCTTTACTCCAAAAATCCAATAATAATCAATACAAAACCTTTAATTTCCTTGTAGTTGTGGGTAGCAAGTGGCTTTGACATGTAGTTAATGTGCAAGGAACACCCCCACCACTGTTGTACTTCACTAGTCATAGAAAAAGTATCTCAGAGAGGAGTTTCTATCTAAATCTAAATGTTAACTCTTTAATTGGGCTTTAAATTAAACGTATAACTAAAACAAAAACGACACAAAATAGTACTGAAGCTTAACTTTGAGATCCCTGCCTTCAAAAGGAGCTTGTCTTTGATTTGACTCACACACTCCTCAGGTTTGAAGGATTGCATCTGTTTTTGTGCTATGGATGTGGCTGAAAGAAGAGGAGGAGAGAGATGCCCAGGATTGGCAACCCATGTCTACTCAACCTGATAATCATTAAACCCAAAATGCATCTCTGTTTTCATAATGTTTCTCTTAACAGGTCCGGTGCTCCTTGTGTTCAGCAGTGCTAAAATATCATCAGAATACTTCCTCTATGGTTAGACACTACACTACCAAGCATGGAGGTCCGGTCAACCAAGGGAAGACAAATAAAGGTAGGGTATACAGGTGCTGGTCATAAAATTAGAATATCATGAAAAAGTAGATTGATTTCAGTAATTCCATTTAAAAAGTGAAACTTGTATATTATATTCATACATTACATACAAACTCATATATTTCAGATGTTTATTTTGTTTAATTTTGATGATTACAAATGACAACAAATGAAAATCTCAAATTCATCATATCAGAAAATTAGAATATTACTGAAGACCAATAAAAACAAAGGATTTATAGAAATGTTGGCCAACTGAAAAGTATGAACATGAAAAGTATGAGCATGTACAGCACTCAGTATTTAGTTGGGCCTCCTTTGGCCTGTATTACTGCAGCAATGCGGCGTGGCATGGAGTCGATCAGTCTGTGGCACTGCTCAGGTGTTATGATAGCCCAGGTTGCTCTAATAGTGGCTTTTAGCTCTTCTGAATTGTTTGGTCTGGTGTATTACATCTTCTTCTTCACAATACCCCATAGATTTTCTATATGGTTAAGGTCAGGAGAGTTTGCTGGCCAATTAAGAACAGGGATACCATGGTCCTTCAACCAGGTACTGGTAGCTTTGGCACTGTGTGCAGGTGCCAAGTCCTGTTGGAAAATGAAATCTGCATCTCCAAAAAGTTGGTCAGCTGCAGGAAGCATGAAGTGCTCTAAAACTTCCTGGTATGTGGCTGCGTTGACCCTGGACCTCAGAAAACACAATGGACCAACACCAGCAGATGACATGGCACCCCAAACCATCACTGACTGTGGAAACTTTACACTGGACTTCAAGCAACGTGGATGAAGTGCCTCTCTTCTTTTCCTCCAGACTCTGGGACCTTGATTTCCAAAGGAAATGCAAAATTTACTTTCATCAGAGAACATGACTTTGGACCACTCACCAGCAGTCCAGTCCTGTTTCTCTTTAGCCCAGGCAAGACGCTTCTGACGCTGTCTGTGGTTCAAGAGTGGCTTGACACAAGGAATGCGACAGCAGAAACCCATGTCTTTCATACGTCTGTGTGTGGTGGTTCTTGAAGCACTCACTCCAGCTGCAGTCCACTCTTTGTGAATCTCCCCCACATTTTTGAATGGGTTTTGTTTCACAATCCTCTCCAGGGTGCGGTTATCTCTCTTGCTTGTACACTTTTTTCGACCACATCTTTTCCTTCCCTTCGCCTCTCTATTAATGTGCTTGGACACTGAGCTCTGTGAACAGCCAGCCTCTTTAGCGATGACCTTTTGTGTCTTGCCCTCCTTGTGCAAGGTGTCGATGGTCGTCTTTTGGACAACTGTCAAGTCAGCAGTCTTCCCCATGATTGTGTAGCCTATAGAACTAGACTGAAAGACCATTTAAAGGCTTTTGCAGGTGGTTTGAGTTAATTAGCTGATTAGAGTGTGGCACCAGGGGCCATCAATTTTGAACCTTTTCACAATATTCTAATTTTCTGATATGATGAATTTGAGATTTTCATTTGTTGTCATTTGTAATCATCAAAATTAAACAAAATAAACATCTGAAATATATGAGTTTGTATGTAATGTATGAATATAATATACAAATTTCACTTTTTAAATGGAATTACTGAAATCAATCTACTTTTTCATGATATTCTAATTTTATGACCAGCACCTGTATGTACTGTACTTCTCCTTGATTAACAGTAATACAAGTAAAAAAATACTCTCCTGCACACTTTGATACATGCACTTATTATTTCTGCATGTCTGTCTTTATCTCAGAAGACCGGAAACGAGTGTTGGATGAGGCTCTTGTGAACATGCTGGTGAAAGATTCACAGCCTTTTTCCATTGTGGACGACTGTGGTTTCAAGGAGTTTGTGGCACTGCTTGATCCCACATACACTCTTCCATCCAAACAGGCGCTAAAGCAAATGGTAATCCAGCGTTATGGGGGACAGAAGAATACGATCAAAGGTCATGCAGAAGATGAGGACTCCGACACGGACTGCTAATGCAATCATCTGGACGCAGCTCTAGCGGTTAGCCTGAGATTATGTGATGGATTCATGCAAACTGATTAAAAGGCTTTGGGAATGGTCCCTTTCCCTGAAACTCATACAGCTGGTAGCATCTTTGCTATCACAGGATCTCTAGTGAAGAAATGGAGCATCAAAAGCACGGCAACCTTATTATGATCTAAGCTGATATGGTTAATTCTGTTTGAAGTCTCAGTCTGTGAACTTTTTCTTAATTTAAATCAACTCAAACAGGGGAGGTTAACAAAAAAATGACAACAAAAGGGAAGCTCAAACAAGTGAAATCTACGATTAATTTTTGAAAATAAAAGTTATTTTGGAGGTGGGCACGCGCTGGATCAAATTTTCTCATCGTACCAGATCTTTTCCAAGACGGACAGCCAGTGGGAGTGCCAACAACAGACTGAGAACTAACTGTCTGAGGAGAAGAAAGTGAAAGTTTTCCATACGACAAAAATGTTTATACTTATGAAAGTATGTTTGGCAGCATGAGATTTTACATTTGCAGATAACGTCCAACATTTAGACATTTTCATTGGTCATCAATAGAGGGCAGATGGTTTTTATGAAGAGGGCTGTTTGTATCCTCTTGGAGTTGGATTCATCATTCAACAGCCCCAGAGGCAGTGCATACCCTGGACTTAAAATACATGTAAAGCAGGGATCCTTCACACTAGGACAAAAATGAAACCAGAACACTCACTGGTTTTACCATAAATTACTCCTTGTTTTTTTTCCAGGAACAATGTTTAGAAGCTCGATATAACTGATGACCTCTAAAATGTACGGATTATGCACATTGAGATTAGATCTTTTTTAGGGATCTTTCTCTGTTTTGGAAACTCTTTAAAAGTCACAGATTTTCTTTTATTCTCAAGGTCTGTTTGTCTAGAACCTCATAAATGCATATGTTTTCTCTTTTCACTTATATGGGGGTAGTGTTGGTCTAGTGGGTTAGAGCAGTGCTCTTCTGCTCTGAGAACGTTGCAAGTACCTGGTTCGATCCCCGCAGCCTGCACTCTGGCTCCCTGAGCAACAACCTTAACCCCACACTGCTCCCCGGCAGCCCACTGCTCCCCAAGGGGATGGGTTAAATGCAGAGAGTGAATTTCCCAATTTGTGGGGAAATAAAAGGATTTACATCATTCTACCCATCACATTTTGGTTTTTGGCGTCATGAAAGAATGAGCGGTTTAGAAATCGAGAAAATTTAACTATACCAAATGTATAAAGCACACCTAGCAGTCTGCCAAAAACATTGTTTTAAACATTCATATAAACAGAATAAAATCAACAAAGCTAACAATTTGTCATTTAATTCATCTGTATTTAGGATAAATCATATTAATTGAAAGGGAAAAAGCTCCAGACATTCATATTAAGATATTCAAGGTGTGTTCAGTAACTGAAAAAAGCGACAAAATGAGGCATTGTCATAATCTAAGAGTAGGAAGCCAATTTTAGCATCATAGTGTTTTATTATTGTGGAACATGCAGAGAAACACACTCTTATTTAACATCCATATTTCATGGAAAAACATCTAGAAAAATATACAAAAACTTCAGGTATTAAAAAAAAAAGATATTGTAGTCTGGAAAAATCTGAATTTTATGAAAAGTCAGGAATGCTACCTTTAACAGTCTGTGACATATGGTACCTTCTCTGAAATAATTTCCTATTTTGGAGGGGAGTTGCAAACTTTAACAACATTTTTATGGTTTCTCCTAAACTACCCCAATGGACACAGCTTGAATTAGGCTTTTTTAACCAATAGGCTCTGTGTTATATGTTTGTGAAGACTCAGAAAAGTTTGAATAGATCAAGAATTTTTTTAATCAAGGTTTACAAACTTGCACATGAGGAGAAAATTTAAATTTACTCACAAAATGTGTGATGAAGCAAATCCTTAGATCATTTGAAGTAAAACGTTTTGACATGTTGCTGCACGTTCTTTAGTTTTTGGTGATGAAAGGTCTCCAACATTGCTTTACAAACCTCAGAGATGAAAAAGATAGGAACTTAAATCATCATTGTGGGCGACTTCTTAGGTATGCATAAAGAACAGTGCATTGCAAAACAATTTATGACCATCTTTTTCACAGTTTTAAACCTTAAAACTACAACACTTAAATTGTATTGTGATTTGAACAACTCAAAGTATTGCATTATGGTAATGTGGAATGTAAACGATAAAAAGTTTTCAGTGTTTTAGAAATACGACTGTTGAAGGTTTGGGGAAGCTTACATAAGGTCCTTTACTCTGACATTTGCCCTCAATGTCACCCCTTTGATGTAGCTTTTCTCTATAGGCCCTGGAGTTTATTTTTAAGCAAATTAGTGAGGAAACATTATCGGACCAAAACACGGAGGGAGAAAGATTAAGAGAAGCTTAAGGCAGGTTTAGATTAGATTAGATTAGATGAGCTTTATTGATCTCACAGCGGAGAAATTCACTGGTCACATATTGGCATAGTAATTAAAGAAGATGCAAACAAGGAGGAAAAGGTGCATTAGGAATAAAAATAAAAAATAAAAATAAAAAAGAAATAAACAAATTAAAAATACAAGGGAGTAACACAGATAACAGATATTTGAGGTGACATGTACAATCAGGATGGCTTATATACAGGTGGATTGACTTTTACATTAAAGTGTAGTAGGTAAGGAACAATGGTGAGGTAGTGGTATGACTATTATATTCACATAAAATATAATATAACATAAAAAGGTCATAACACAATTTAGTTTTTTATGTTCTCTTGAAGATCTGGCCATTTAGCATGGTGTTGGAAGCATCATGCTGTGGGGACAGATTATGTTAGCAGGCAAAGGGAGAATAAATGAAATACCTACAGAAGCTTTAAAATACTAGAGGCTGGCAAAGAGCTTAACCTTTACTTCCACCAAAACAACCCAAATGTACATCTAGTGCTATAATGGAAATTCTGAAATTTAAAGGATATTCCTGTTTTTGACCATTTCAGGCTAGAAGTTATTTTGCCTTTTTTCTCTCAGTATTCTGAGAAATTGTCTTATTTCATCCTTTCTAGTTAAGTGTTGGAAACACATCATTATTTTTACTATGGCACACAGTTTTCTTTTCATTGTATGTAAACCATAAGCATAAAGAAAATCTAAGTAAATATACTCAACGTGTGTAGCAGTGACCTAATAAGTGGGAGCTCCACCCAGAGTTATTCATGTATAAGAACTGGGGGAATAGCAGAGGAGACCAAACAAGACTTCAACCTCAGTAGAGCCTCATCTTAAGATAAGTTATAAAGGCGGAGGATTTTTTATTTATTTTTTTTTCAGGTATTATGGACGAAATAGTAGAATTTAATGTAGATAAGTCAATTTAGAAAAGTTTTTATTGTTTTTTTTTTATATATATATATATTAAATGGAAACATTTGTAGTTTTTTTGCAGACAGATTAATTTCTAAGTTTGAATGCACAATGCGTGCGCTAAATAACAGCGTGGATTCCCAGGATGTTCCGCGCGACGAGGGTCTGGCCCGGGTGGAAATCGCCCTGCTCGGTGTGATCTTCCTGACTGCCGCCATCCTCAACAGCCTCCTGCTGCTGCTCCTCTGGAGGCAGCGCAAGCAGATGTCCCGCATGCGCGTCTTCGTCTTCCACCTGTGCCTGGCGGACCTGGTGGTCGCCTTTTTCCAGGTGTGCCCCCAGCTAATGTGGGACATCACGGACCGGTTCGTGGGACCGGACCTTCTGTGCCGACTTGTGAAATACCTGCAAGTCCTGGGCATGTTTTCCTCCACTTATATGATCGTGGTGATGACGCTGGACAGATACCAAGCCATCTGCAACCCGATGGTGAAGTTTCAGCGGGCGCGCACCAGAGTGAACGTCCCCGTGTGCGTGGCGTGGGGAGTTTCTTTGGTGGGCAGCTTGCCGCAGGTTTTTATTTTCTCCCAAGTGGAGATCTCACCCGGTGTGTTTGATTGCTGGGCGGAATTCATCCAGCCGTGGGGGCTGCAGACTTACATCACATGGACCACTCTGGTTATTTTCATCCTGCCAGTTTCTACAGTTGTTTTCTGCCAGGTGCGCATCTGCAGAGCCATTCAGACCAACCTGTCCAAGAAGCCTCATAAGCAGGGATTAACCGTAGGTCTCCCCCTGCCATCCAGAGCCAGCGGAGCGGCTGGGATGTCTAAAGCCAGGGTGAAGACACTGAAGATGACAGTGGTCATTGTGTTGGCTTACATTATCTGCTGGGCTCCTTTTTTCACCGTCCAGCTGTGGTCCGCCTGGGACGCACATGCGCCTACAGAGAGTAAGTTACATACAACATCTGGTTTCTCTCTCCTTCTGTTTCTCACTGTATGAATGTAGCCTTAAACACAAGCTGATTTGGGTTCCAATTCTATTCAAAATCTATTAAAATATGTATTTGGGTTTCATGCAAGGTGATAAAAACATATAGCCAATCACTTGATTGGTATTTATTTTAATTTGGTATAATTAGTATATTACATTAGTATTTAAAACTATAAAAAATAAAGAATTTTATCATTTGTTTTCATTGTAAAAAAAAAACCCAAAAAAACAATTTACCTGTTTTTTTCTTCATAAAGAATTAAATGGTAAACATGGTTTGATAATTTGTTTTCATTGTGTGTTAAAATCAAAATATGTAGCTGTTTTTTGTATTGGTAGTATTATTTCTTTTTTACTAATAGAGCCTACAGCCAGAGATTATATTAGAAAAGAATTTCAATTATTGCTTAAGTAATATCTTGAGAAAATGCATTAAATAAATAAAAAAAAATTAGTCAAAATTAATTTCTAATTGTTTATAACTTACAGCATACACAATTACATAAATGAAAACTGTAAAATTGTATATAATTATTTCATTATGCTTTTAAATCTTTCATATTTCCATGTGCTGCAGGATATTATAACCTAATTAAAATGCCAGAAAAAAATAAAAACAAAACATCTGTCAGCAAAACTAGATCAATCATCTCCTGCAACAAATGAATATAACATTTAAAAATGGATAAATAAATGCATTCTCCTACATAAAATGTAAAAGTCCTTCATGTATCTATTTTCATGTTGAATGATTTGGTTATATACATTTTTTAAACAACTGTTGTATCAAATAGTAGTGTTTAGTAAGTTAAAGAGTAGAACAGGAAATGTGGCTCCAATTGTCACTCGGTGATTAGTGGGCTGCCTATAAATTATGAAGCTGCAAGGACAAGAACATAGACGATGAGAGCAGAGTTACATGCCAATTCAACCTGGAAAGACTCACCCAGAGAAAAGCTGCAATTAGAAATGTTTTATTCAATTAAATTAAATGCATTTATACAAGGAAACACAGTCAGATTGTTCAAAAATGTTTCTGTCTTAGGACATTAGGAAAACCAGCTGATTGTGAGGGTTTATTAACTGTCTACAATCCTGCACACCAAGCATGCATGTAGCGACAGTGGAGAGGAAAACTTCCTTTTAACAGGAAGAATCCTTTAGCAGAACCAGGCTCAGTGTGAGCAGTAGTCTTCCCCTGGGCCCTGGACACTGGTGGTGGAATAAGCCAGAGGGTGTGTTAGACTGAGAATGAGGGAGGGGATGGGGTGAAGGTGGGTGAAAGTTTGCATGCGTGTAGGAGAGAGAAGCTAAGCCAGGAGCTAAATGAATGGATCTTGCAAAATGATTGGCTTGGAAGAAGGAGCACCCCCTGAGTAGATTGGCTGGAGCTGAACAAAGGACACAGGTGGTTCAGGTTCACATTATCTGGACAAGATTGTGTACTTATTGCTGTAAAGTTTCTTTTATGTCACCTTTTTACATCAAATTGAATAATCTTTAGTCTTACATGGATATAAAAACTGACATTTATTCAAGGACAATTATTTCAGTGGTTTATTTTAATGATTTAATTTCCTATTTTAATACTTAAAAGTGGAATTCATTCAGTGTTAAATTTGCATTATCACTTTGCTGCTGATAGATGAGAAATTACCAGAGAGAGAGGGCTATTCTTTTTTTATTCAATTCTATTACAAATATTCACTAATATTTTTTGCTTGTTTACAGTTGGTGTAGCTATTCCTTTGAAATAAAATCCTTGATTGAATAAAAAATTAGATAATTTTAAATTTCATAAAGATTTTCTGTAAATATTACTAGCTTTTTCATTCAGGATCTATATTCTCTGTTAGAGGTCAAGCAAACTGAGGTTAGCAGGTTTATGCCCTAAGCCAAAGTTTAGTTTGCTCTATAAGTAAATTATTTAGTATGTTTTTTTTTTTCAATAAGGAAAACCTTGCTTTCAGATTTTCCTGCAAAAACCCATTACATGTTTTCATTTATGCCCTTGCAGCTGCAATTTTCACCATCCTGATGCTGCTGGCCAGCCTGAACAGCTGTGCCAATCCCTGCATCTACCTGCTATTCTGTGGGGAGTTTCCAAGGAGGCTGGTGAAGCTCCTGTGTCCACGGCCACTTTCTATTGGTAAGGACCCAATGCATGAGGAAGCCACTCTTCTCAGCACTTTGTATATGAGCTTTAAAAGTGCCTCAGACTCAAAGGGATTATAGTATTCTGCCATAAACAAAGGACGAACGTGGAGATAAAGTAAAGAAGATCTTACTCTTCAAAGGCCTCCCATAGACTGACTACAGTGAAAACTTTTTGTAACATAATGGACTATTTCTCAAACCTGAATGGGACTGGACTTGCTTCTTATTCTCAGCTGCACAGTGTTTAACATTTTTTTTTATACGAAGGTTAGTTAAAATTGCTACAATTACAAAAAAATAAAGCCATAGTCCCTTGAGTTAGATTCAGATTGTTAAATCATTTGCTAGATTTGTGTTTCATTTTTGACGTTTTTATACATGAAAAAGTAAAGAGCTAAAGTCTTGTATTTGAAAGGTTTGATGTCTTGAATAAACATAAACAGTTTTGTACATGTTTGTTGTGATAAAATTAAGTAGACTGAACAAGTTAGAAATAAAAATATCAGAGCCATGGTTTCTGATTTTTTTTTCTTGGGTCATTTAAAAGTAAAAGAATAATAATATAAACATTTAATGTAATTTATAGGGTGTTGCACTGCTCTGCCTAAGTGTGTCTTTCTCTTGACCTAATTCAATTTTCAAAATTTAATAATGAACGTTGTGGATTTTATGGGGATAATGACAGAACAACAAAAAGTACTGCAGAAATGTAAAAAGTAGATGAATTTGTGATTAGTTTTATGAAACACACACACAAACAAAACTGTGGTAGCAGCATCATGTTGTGGGATGCTCTTCTTTCAGCTTGGATAGGAGTGCTGGCCAGACTTGATGAGAAGATGTGTGGATCTAAAACAGGGCAATCCAGGATCAAGGTTAAACCTTTTGACAATATTCCCAAACAGTCAGCCTGCACTTGACTAGGTAGCTGTTTTCCTATAAATCCTAGCCTGGTGTACACAGCCAGTGTAATAGAATAGAGGTCAACTTTATTGTCATTACATTATCACAATTACAAAACAACAAAATGTAGTTTGCATCTATCCAGAAGTGCTATACAGGCAATCAATATTTATTTACATGTGCACAGACACTATGTATGTATTGACTATAAATGCCTTATAAATATATTTTAGGGCTGCAACTAATGATTATTTTGAAAATCAATTAATAAGTCAATTATTTTTTCAATGAATTGATTATTAATGAAATAGTAAAAGGTTCTTGAAAGATTTATTTTTACGAAACTAAACCAGCTGAAACTAAAATGTTTCAACTTGAGGAGTTCTGAATGGAACATATTGAGAGACGAAAAAGTTTTTTTGTTTTTTTTTTAAATCTTAAAGGAATAGTACACCCAAAACATGATTAGCCTTCATTTTCTACTCACCCCCATGCTGAACAACACTCTGGAGTACTTTTTTGATATCTCAAATGCATCTGGAGATCTGGGAGGCTTCTTGCTGTCTGCTGACATTCAAGTAATGGAGGTCTATGGTGCCCGAGGCAGAAAGGTCCATAAAAGTCCACAAAAAACGTGTCAATATTCCTCCTTACTGCTCGTCCAATGTATTCCAAGTGTCCTGAGTGGGTAGCATCCAGAATTTACTCGAAACGAAGTCATTTAGAATGTTTTTAGAGCATAAACAGTAGTGTATAGGATTTCCTGAAAGCGCGCACATGCGCGCTCACGACGCTACGGAAGCCGGCAGACCAAACCAGCGCATTCAGCTCAGCAAAGAACTCATGCTCTTCCTCAACACTGAAGTCCTCAGACATTTTTCTTTCGTTGTTTCTTTCTTTGCACAGGTAAACAGCACATTTCTTCTTCTACGCTTGCATTATTGGCAGAGCAGACGCTGAATGCGCACTTTCATCTGGTTTGGTCTGCCGGCTTCCGTAGCGTCGTGAGCGCGCATGTGCGCGCTTTCAGGAAATCCTATACACTACTGTTTATGCTCTAAAAACATTCTAAATGACTTCGTTTCGAGTAAATTCTGGATGCTACCCACTCAGGACACTTGGAATACATTGGACGAGCAGAATGGAGGAATATTGACACGTTTTTTGTGGACTTTTATGGACCTTTCTGTCTCGGTCACCATAGACCTCCATTATTTGAATGTCAGCAGACAGCAAGAAGCCTCCCAGATCTCCAGATGCATTTGAGATATCAAAAAAGTACTCCAGAGTGTTGTTCAGCATGGGGATGAGTAGAAAATGAAGGCTAATCATGTTTTGGGTGTACTATTCCTTTAAATGAAACATGTTTATTTATTTATTTTACAATTTTGGTATACGGTAATTGCTGCTCTACGTGGGTTGCTCTGTCACCTAAAGGCATGTTTTAAAGTATCTATACTTCAGGTAATCGATTATCAAATTAGTTGACGGTTATTTCAATAATCGATTAATCACGATTAATCCGATGAATTCTGTTGCACACTTTTCTTGCTAATTTCAAATGAATCCCACACAATAAATTGTTTCTTACAACTTGGATTTACAAGTAAGGACACCGAAAATGTATTATTAGTTTCTACTGATATTTCTTTTAATGTGTTTCTTGTTTAAGGAATAGAAATGGGGCTATTAGCTATCAGTGTTTACAATAGCTGCTTTTATCCCAGCTATGTCGTTCACTCCATCCATCCAATCATTATCTGACATGCTTGTCCCGAGTGGGGTCGTAAGGGGCGCTGGTGCATATCTCCAGCTGTCTATGGGCGAGAGGCTGGGTACACCCTGGACAGGTCGTCAGTCCATCGCAGGGCAACACAGAGACAAATAGAACAAACAACCATTCACGCGCACACATCCACACCTAAGGAGAATTTAGACAAGTCAATTAACCTAAAAGTCATGTTTTTGGACTGTGGGAGGAAGCCGGAGTACCCGGAGAGAACCAACACATGCTCAGGGAGAACATGCAAACTCCATGCAGAAAGACCCCAGGCTGGGAATCGAACCCAGAACCTTCTTGCTGCAAGGCTCAACAGCCTCTCGTTCAATCCATTGTTGCGATTCGGAAACTAGTTCTCCACACCACTAGTTGGCAACAATGTCATGGGTTGTTTTTATCTTTTAAAGAAGATGTGATTTCCAGCAGGAATCATGATTGTTGATTTACTGCAAAAGGAATGAGGAAGGAGAGATATCAGGTTATATTTGAGTTTTTGAAACAGAACAAAATTGTATAACGGGGTATAGTTTTTTGCCATGTGGTTCACACTCCTTACCAGTTGGTGGCGGTAATGCTCACTTAACGTTTTGCCAACCGCTATAACAAATTTCAAGAAGAGGAAGCAGGAATTGGGCATGTTTTTGTTTTCCTTTGGTTTCCAAATCAATGGCTGTCCAATTGTGCTTCACAGTATCCTCCTCACACATTGGTTCCTCTATAAAAGCGTGGTTGTTGTCCTCTTTTTTGGCCCACGGTTTGCTCCTTCTGCGTGGGGCCTTAAAGCCTCTCGGATGGACTGTTTGGACCATGAACTGGGCCTGTTCCCGTTAGAAGAGCTGAGACTTTTAGCTCCATGGGTAAAGTGAGCATAGAGACCCGGCTGCAGGTGGTGAGCCTCAGCCAGCAGGGACTCTCACAGGCCAAGATAGCCAGACAGACGGGCGTCTCCAAGAGCGCCATCCAGGCTTTGCTGCAGAAACACAGGAAGACGGGCACCGTGGAGGACCAGAAGCGCAGCGGCCGACCGCGCAAGCTGAGCGGAGCGGACGAGCGGCACATCAAGCTCATCTGCCTACAGAACAAGAAGATGTCCAGCAGCGACATCACTTCCGAGCTGGCGGTGACGAGCGGGACCCTGGTGGACCCGTCCACCGTCAGGAGGAGCCTGGCCAGGAACGGCCTGAGCAGGAGGCGAGGGGACAGAAGTAAAGCCTGCCTGACTTCTGAAAACAGAAAGAAGGAAAACCACAAAAAAGGGGACGATAAACTTGAAGGGGAGCTCTCTGATGATGAGTCCGGATCAGAGATAACAGACTGTCGTAAAGTTACAGAGGAAGGAATCAGAGAAGAGAGTAAGAAAGCTTCAAGTACAAGTGAAGCATAGCAGCCTCATTGCAGGCTTAATCAGGCAATATTTGCTAAATAAGTCATTATCAGCTGATTATTTCAGCACTTTAAGAGGTCAAACTGAACTTGTTGGAACAAACAAAAAAAGAAAAAGTTTCAAATATTTAATATTAGCTTATATTTATAGTGTGTATCCGTTTTTTATGCCAAAAAGTGTCAGTCAGTCTGATGCAAGCACTAGACTGCAAAAATCAACTGTGAAGAAAACAATTAGTGCCTGGGGAAACCTGTTCATTGTTTTTATTGATCCAAGCAGAAAACATCTGTTTCAGCAGACTAGAATGACCAAGATTAGAATAAGCCAAAACCTTTTTGAACTGTTTATAAAAGGAAAGTGTTGGTTACACCTAATCAGACCATGCTGATCAGCCCAAAAATCATCTTCTGCTGATAGTTACTTTAAATGGATTTGTTTAATTTAAGAATGGGACTTCAATCTAATGAAGAGTTTATGGAGATGGTATCAATATCATAAAGAAAACATGAAATTGTGGCCAAAAAAAATTGATTGACCTACATTTTCCTCACACTTATTTTCCCTTTCTCTGTTAATGGGGATCCCACTATCTGCTTTTAGCTTTAGAATCATGGCCCTTTAAGATTTACCTAAAACATAGGGAGATAATATGATATGCTAAAAGCCTGTCCAAATGGCTGCATATAATATTGGCAAGCAGAGTTTGTCTCAGCATATTGTGATTAACTGGGTATTTATTGCAAGCAATTTTGCACACATTAAAGTTAAAATTATGATTTGATTTATTATATATCTCTGCAAACATGCCTTCATAGCTTTAGGGCTGAATGGTCTGAATATAGGATGAAACTTGCAAAAGGATTTTCAGTAATAGATTAGTAGGTTTCTGAAATACAAATAAAGGCTTTTCTACAGATGATTGAACATTGTACTGATAACTGTTAAGATGCTAATGTCTTTGTGCAAATGTAAATAAAAAACTATATTTTTTAGAGATGATATCCTTTGATCATTGCTTTATCTTTTTGGAGATATGAAATTCTGAAAAATAAAATGCCGACTGGGGGGAAGCCAGTTTTTCTAAGTTCAGATTAGAGGAGGGGCCCAAAGCCAACCCCTCCATCTGTCAACCTATGGTCAAGATTTTTTGTTTTAATACTTGTGGGGCACTATATATGTTTTATATTTAAGTTGCATAAAATATTGTTCTAGAATTTTTTCTTATTCATATTTACTATGTTAAGATCAAGATTAAAACCTTCCTATTTAGTAAACCTATAGTAAGAGTGGCTCATGTTATCCTGAGCTATCTCTATCTTTATGCTGCTATTGGCCTAGGCTGCTGGAGGACAAAAATTGCACTTTTCAGCATTCTGCTATGTTACTTCGAAATCTAAGTTTATATTCTCTCTCCTTTTTTTAGATCATTTTATCTACATCAGCTGTCCTGGTGTCAATAATTCCTTGTCATAGATGGGTGACGTAGTTATTGGCTCAGCTTTTACTGCAACTAACTCTATGTCATTTTTTTCATCCTTTTTGACATGAAAACAGACCTAGAGCTTAACTGTGGATCAGTGGATATGATCCGTGATCCATAAGTACCTCAAACTATGCTGAGAGCTGATGAAATGTAGCTTATTTAAGTTTAAAATGATGGAGATATTTTTGGTTTTTACATAGTATTGTTTACATTTACATTGTCAAAACACATTAGAACCTTAGCAGATTCAACACACACACACTTTCTACATATGTGATCTGAAGTATGAAAAAGACCAATGTGAAGACCAATAAATCCTATTATGTTAGTTTGCACTCTTAACTCAAGTAAAAAGTATGCGGCGTTCCCCCCTTAAGATGGGGACAAAGACCTAGATTGTATGTGGTATCTGCCGCTCACAGACTGCCAGTCTGGGTCACTGAGCAAAGACCCTTAACCCCACACTGCTCCCCGGGCGCCACACAATGGCAGCCCACTGCTCCCCAAGGGTTAAATGCAGAGTTGTTATTATTTTATGTGATAGGAAAACACAAACAAAAATTTGTGAAATTAAATCTGTGAAATTCAAAATAGAAAAAAAGATGTGGTGTGTATGTATTTTGCCCCAGAGTTAATACTTTCAACACAAACTGTTAGTCAGTCTAGTTAACTTCTAGTCTAAAAAAAAACGAAAAAGAAAAAAAACAGCGGCTGCTGGAGCCACTAAACAAGGGTATAACAAAAGCTAATTTTACTGGTGAAATAATACATGACAAATTACTCAAGTGGTACAACAAATGCATTTCTGTGATTAGTAATCACAAGATATCTCTTCTCCCACTCACAGAGACTCATTAGACTACTTCTAATGTGCCTGCATCAATGTGTATCCACCACAGCTGCAAGAACACCAAAATCACATCATGTGCACACATGAAAGCTTTGGACAAAAAAGGGATATGGTGACCTTTCTGTACGATTAAAAAGGACCTTCTACCAGCTTCTTTAAAAGCATCACTATATTAATGTATCCTGGCTTTATAAACATACAGACACATGCGGTGAGTCAGGTTTATTTCAATGTGTTCTGAGTACGAGTCTGGATTGTGATCAACACTCTGGAAAGAAACATGAAAAACAAACCGTGGTCTCTGCTTGTAACTGAGAGTTTATTTTTACCCAATGGTGCAATAAATGATGCGGAAAAACAAGCAGAGGTCTTTTATGGAACCCGGCAACTGATCTGCTCAGAAAAACACCCGGCTTCAAGATTCCTATATGAATAAAAAAAGGACACAAATAGGATTAACAGGAACATCACAGAAGATACAATACACTGTTTTCGTATTGCCTCATGTTATAAGTGCACCTTTTAATGAGTTTTATGAGGCTTTTCCGTGGTTGAATAACACAATGTAATGCATTAATGTAAATTGTGAGGAAAATTACACATAATTTCCAATTGCCTGTTTTTTTTCCCTACATTTTTAAAATAAAAATATTGTGTAGATCTAAATTGATCCTCCCTAATTCTAAACCCAGCTGTTTCGTCTAGGGTTCTCTCCAGCAGCTGAGATGATAGGCCTAGGCTGCTGGAGGACAAAAATTACACTTTTCCACACTCTGCTACGTTACTTCGACATCTAAGTTTATATTCTCTCTCCTTTTTTTTATAACTGTATCATCTGGACTCCTGGTTGAAGACATCAGCTGTTCTGGTGTCAACAATTTCTTGTCATAGATAGGAAGACATAGTTATTGGCTCAGCTTTTACTGCAACTAACTCTATGTGCATTTTTTTTATCCTTTTTGGCATGAAAACAGACCTCGAGCTTAACTGTGGATCCGTGGATATGATCCATGATCCATAAATACCTCAAACTATGCTGATAGCTGATGAAATGTAGCTTATTTAAGTTTAAAATGGAGATAATTTTGGTTTTTACATTGTATTGTTTACATTTACACTGTCAAAACACTTTAGAGCCTTAGCAGATTCAACACACACACACTTTCTACATATGTGATCTGAAGTATGAAAAAGACACCAATGTCATAAGCAGAAAATCCCATCATGTTAGTTTGAACTCTTAACTCAAGTAAAGAGTATGCAGTGAAGAGAAGGGACAAAGACCTAGATCGTATATGGTATCTTCACAAATGATTTACCATCAGTTTTGTGTAAAGCGGCTTACACAATGCAATACAATGGCTTTTCCATTATCGACTAACACAATGTAATGTGTTAATTTGAATCGGGAGGAAAATTATACATAATTTCAACTGCTTGTTTTTTTCCCCTACATTTTAAAAATAAGAATATGGTTTAGTTCTAAATTGAAGGCTTAATTTGCAGCTTAATGTTTGCCATCTTTTTTTGACTATTGAGGCAGTCACTTTAGCATCCTGTGAATGTTGTAATGACATCCAAAGGTTTATGAGGACTTCTTTCATGCTGTGGTTCACATTCAGGAATTTGAATGTCACCCACTTCAAGTTTTAAATACTCAAACATCCAGAAAACACATGGGCAATTTACCCAAACCATTTCAAAGTTGTGTACTTATTTGAAAACCACCGTGTAAGAGATTTTCTGTACTGAAATTATGCACACACAAACTGTAGACTTCTAGTTTTATTGTTCAAGAAAGATGAACGAGAGAAAAACATGCAAAGTGTTCCTCTAATCTGAGTTGCTGATATCTGGGTGATGATTAAATGAGTGGTGTAAATAATCCTCTTTCATAGCAAATAAGGAGAAGAAAATGCCATAAGAACATTTTTCATCCATAAACAAGAACAAGTATTTTGTAGACCAACATTCTCAGTTTTTATACAATCTCTCATTTGCTTATTGATGAAATGATAATGCTTTCAACAATTGTTAAAACCATAAAAATTTTGGGAAATAAATGATAATCTTAAAATCTGAAGAATAACAGTCATATGATACATTTGTTTTATTATGGTCACACAAATGACCTGGGGATTTGCTGTAAAGCTGCAGAATCTGAAGGAAAACAAACTTGAGAAACTATGAAGCAATAAGCTGTGAATCTTATCACCGGGGTGCTGTTTATCTGCCTGCGTTCAGGACTGCTTCACAGATTTGTTCAAAGCAACTAAAAGGAAAAACAAGCAGTAAAACAGGCACAGAGATTTTTAAAATGCCACACTCCGCTTTGCTCTCTGTTTTAATCAGCTTTGACTTTTATACAAAGTCCACTCTGAGCCCCTGAAACATATTTAACGTTCACGTAAAGCTCCCTCCTTGAAGCATATCATCAGATGGGAAAACCACCCACTGTTACCGGTACATGCAAAACAAGCTGATTTTAATCAGGTACATAAAACATAATTACAACCATTGATACTAACATCTCTGATTTTTGTCTTGATAAAAAAAAGAAAAATACCTTTACAGGTTCTTTACAAATCAGCACAAATGTGAAATTAATCCCAAAAAACCTCTTGCATACAAAAATACATCAGATCTAGCATTTCAAAAATAGCCCCTTATCACAGATCTACACATACAGGAGTGCATCTTAATAAATTAGAATATTGTTGAAAACTTTGTTTATCTCAATAACTGAATCGAGAAAGAGCCAACACCCAGCGAAAATATTTAGTGTTTATTTCTGTAATTTTTGATGATTTTGGCTTAAAGCTAAGAAACACTAAAGTATCTATAGAAATTTAAAACATTTAAAAATAATTAAAAAAAAAGAAAAAATGATTTTTTTTTTTTAATATATAATATTTTTTTAACCCTAGTATAGATTTCAATATTACAGAAGATTAGCAAAAAAGGGTTCATTGCAGAATACTCTGCTTCTATAGCGCCTGATCCAAGGAACTACACAGAAAGTTTGGTGGAAGGAAAAATTATGGATGAAAAGGTGCATTAGCGGCAGGGACCTCGCCCTTGACAGGGTGATGAAGTAGTAGAATATATGCATACCTTTCTCCAAGCAACTCGAGTTTCCTTAAGACCTGAAGGCCTTCATTAATCCACCAACTGATGCAAAAGGACCCCTGACCAAGTACTGAGCAAACTTACTCTACAGCACATGAGCAAACCTTTTAGCAAACAGACATTTCTGCATTCCTTTCACCTTATTTTTATTTATTTCAAGCTTATCTCTTAGAATGTTCTTCATAAACTATATAAGCCAAAATCATCAACATTGATAGAAATAAACAGACAAAATAAATCACTGTGCTTAATCTATAATCACAGAATCACTGAAATAAATAAACTTTCCAATGATATCCTAATTTAATGAGAAGAACTTCAGGTCATTTGGCTTCTCCTCGCTGCTCTATAATAGATTAAGTTCACTGAATAAAGTGGCTGCAGTAGAGAGGCGCCAGCTGGATGCAGTTTAAACTCTACAATGCTGGAAGAGAACAGTTGAGATCATAAAGCACAATGAAATCAGCCAACATTACGTGTCTGAGCCTCCCTGAATACAGAGATAACTGCTAGATGTGTGACTGCTGCATGCAGGCATTTTAAACACGTTTTTCATTCTACCCAGTAGATCAGTCTCCTTCTCTTTTCACTGGCAGCATCTCGCTGTCACAGTTTAAGAGCCTTTTAAAGCATCATTCCACCCCCCGCCATAAAATCTACCCTGAATTTGTAATTTATAGAATCCATTCACTAATGCGACGGATGCCTCGCCAGACATGACAGCTGCTGTGATGCACTGATGACTATAAAGAAAGTATTTGTAGCTAAACACTGACAGGAGATTGAGGCTCAGGGAGGCTTGTTTTTTTTTCGGAAAAGGAGGGCTGGGTGGTTTAAAGTCACACACAAAAGAGGCGGGAACCTCCTCTGCCTTCCTCGCCTTCTCCCTGTGGGATGCGGGGAAGCATAGCTGAACGGGTCAAACCCCAAAAGCGAGGCGGAGACAAATCCTTCTTTGTGGCTGTGAACTTCCAACCCATATGAGAGCCGCAGGTCCGGCACTGAGCGATAGTCCAGGCGTACCTGAGAGTGAAGGGAAATTCAATAATAAATCAAAAAGAATAATTCAATAACACTACACTAAGCATTATACTACTATACTAATACTGTGTCTACAAATTACTTTGAAAAAAACAAAGTTTTCTTTGGGCTGACTATATATTATAATGGATCTTTTCCTTTGAGTTTTCCTACTGTCAGACAATAAAGGATGTTTCTATTCTATTCTATTCTATTCTATTCTATTCTATTCCAGGGTTTATACAGGAATTAGTAGCTCTTATTTAATGCTTTTTAATGCTCTTAGAAAATAATTTTAATGACATCAACAAGTACTCATGACTCTCATATATACACGGCAAAATCTTTCGTCATCTTTACCCTGGACATGCTGCAGCCATGTTCCGAATTCCTCGTTTTCCTGCCAGTTTTGTGGAAATGTGTACAATTTCCCATTCTCTAGCTTTTTCTCCGCCTCGAGCTTCTTTCCCGAACAAACGGCTTTACAATCAACCAGAAGCAGTTCCACGCAAATATATCAAAATATATCTGACGAAATTGTTTTTATAAACTTTTTTTTTTAAATAAGACATTTTAAATGCCACGATAATCACATTTAATGAGTTTTAATGCCAATTAAGGCCTTAATTTAAAAAATAATAATTTAATGACTTTTAACGATTTTTAATGACCTGCAGAAACCCTGTATTCTATTCTATGTTTTTAAGTCTAAGTTCAATACTTTTCCATAGATATCTCAATTCTCTTTATATAGGGGCGACAGTGGTGTCGGGTGCAGGAATTTGGCCTGCAAAGGAAGGGTTGTCGGTACGAGCCCTTGGCTTCTGCCTTCATAGTTGTTGTGTCCTTGGGCAAGACGCTTTACCTCCATTGCCCTGAGGACCCTCTGGCACCAGCGTACGGCAGCACAGCTTCTGGCAGTGAGCCCCAAGGCAGCTGTGGCTACAGTGTAGTTTGCCACCATTAGTGTGTGCGTGAATGTGTGAATGACTGAATGTAGTGCAAAGCACTTTGGTCACGTCCTCTGACTTGAAAAAGCATTGTATCAGAACGGGCCATTTTCCATTTTATTTAAAGCAACAGTGTGTGACTTTTACCCACTAGAGGTGCTGGAACTGTAATTAATCGATTATTTCAACAATCAATTAAACTAATCTATTGTTTCAGACCAAATGAAAACACAATAGTCAGAAACGGGCATGCATACATCAATGCAGATTATAAGGTTATAATGACGGATCAGAAAATTGCGAAAATTACAAATTAGTGGTGTTTCCATGTCCTAAAATCATCACTTATGTCTTTTTTTTTTACTACGGTGTGGCGGCATCAGCTCTGCAGGCCGTTCCGACACATACAGCGCTAAAGGTGTGCTCTGCTATCCGATGGAATTTGTCTGGTAACTTTGCTTCTTCTTTTTTTTGATAGTGACTGAAATATATCTGTTAAAAAGGCTGATTCTTCACCGCTTAGAGCTGCTAGCCTCCATAGAAACAGTCCGTTTATGTGCTGAGGTTCCTACCCTAACCCTTATACGCCAAAAAATAGTCTAATAAAATCACAAAATTGTTTTTCAGGGTGATTTAACCACATCAGCAACCACTCATTTCAGTGGTGGGACATTTATTTCAACAGCTTTTTGTTAGTGTCACCAATCACCAGAGATGATATTTTATGTGGAAGCTGTCCTTGACTTTAATCCATAACTCTTCTCCAGTTTAACTAAGAACTTTTTTTAAATTGTTTAATACGTTTTCTCTCTTTCTTCGTTCTTTTTTGCATTCTGATTTTCTTTTTTTTTTTAGCCAAACACACCACTGGAGTAGACACTGTTAGTTTGACCCCTAAGAATCTCTGTTGAGGCTTTGGGCCCTGATCTGATTACAAACGACCTTTTAAACTTTCCAAAAGCATCCAGAATCTTAATCCTGAATCGAAGTCATTTAACTTTAAAAACATACACAAAATAAATAATAGAAATCATAACAGCAAGCAAATGATAGGCTTCCTCTAAACAGATAATGCTCTCACAACCAGTGACAACTTGTCTTCTCAGTGCTGTTAGAGACACACAGCCTGGGTGAAATACATATCCATTTAAAACTTGAGTGAACTCTAAAGAAATAAAGAACAAGAGAGACCCTCTCCAATGCTGGGTTTACACGGACAAAGCAGGGGTTTCAGCGAAAGTATAACCTATCATTTATGCGTTCATAAATAAGTTTTTTTTATTCATTTTGTAAAAATAACAGCTCTATTATTGTTCATTCTTACAACAATATCATATGTACAGTTCCTAAATTCAACTGTACGACATAATTCATTTTATCTGAAATCAATACCTTTGATTTTTGAAACCAAGACATTTGAATGATTCAGTGTTAGAGTGGAAATATTGGTTAAAAAACAGGAAAGCCTTACTTATAAGTGTATGAGTATCTTTTCCTTTAAAATTAGATTACCGGTATTAGATAACATGCATTTCAAATAACTTAATCAGATTAATTTTTGTTCTTATTTTATATGTATATTATCTTATTAAACTGGCCAAATGTCTAACCTATCAGCTTGAATCAAGGAAAAATTAAATTATTATGAGAAAAACTTACTTTTTTTCTTTTTTGCAGTGTATGTTTTTAGAACAGGGGTCTGGACCAATTTAACAGGGGTCATGGCCCGTTGGTCCCCAATAAAAAAAAAAAAAAAACACCCCTGTTCTCAAGAATTTAGATATGAAACAGAGGAGTGTACATGCAATTAATTATTGGTGAATTCCTCCCTAGTTGTTCTAAACACAATGAACAGGTATGGCTCCGAGTCCTGAGGAGAGTTACCCTGGAAACCAGCTGTGCAGTGTGGATGGCCTGCCGACCAGGTTCAGGTTGTTGGCTTTGTAGACAGTCAGAGTTTCATGAACATAACCGTGAGGGTTGACGTATGCAGCCATGGGACCGTACAAGGACAAACTGGTGGAGCAGAAAGAGGCAGATGGAACAAGGCATGAGCTGGGATTCGGATTCAGTCAAAAACTAAAGCACCAGAAGGAAACTTGAGATTCACTGAAGGCTCCAAAAATACCTTCAAACAGTAAAAATGTGAAGTTATCCCTCTGCACCTGAATGCAACTCTTAAACAGCCACATGACCATGCATGGCAAAAACCTGGAGCTGCACAATATGCTGAATCTTAAATATTTTCAAAATGTGCAAAAGCACAAAGCAAACAAGTGTTTGAATACAGTGTTTGGTTTGCTATCATCTTTTGGCTGTATTGCATTCAAATTCAAACCAGACTTCTAGGGCTCTTTCTGGAGCCACTGTGCTCAGGGGAAGCAGTGGAAATATTATAAAGAGACAGTGAATAAAAAGGGGGTTGATCTTTATTATTAGTGGCGTTCCCACGTTTTCTGAACATCGTGGCCTAAACAAACCTTAAATCACGCATTTAAATCCAATTTTAGTCAATTACTTATTGATTGATAGACTTTATTGATCTCACAGTGGGGAAATTGACTTGTCACATCTGCTCAATAGTCAAAAAGAAGGTGCCAAAAGGAGGAAAAGGTGCATGTGGTATATTAAATGTAAGAATCAGCAGCAACCTAATCTTACCAAAGATAAAATAATCTTGTCTTTATGGCATATGAAACATGCCCTAAAAAGGTCAATACAGGGAATCGTTTTTGGGGAGGTTTCCAATTTCAGTATTTAGCTAAACAGCTACATGTAGTAGAATATATGCATGCAGCACTAAAGGTCACCTTTCACTCCAATATTATACTAACACAGCCTGTATTATTAATCCTTTTTGGGTTCAGTCAAAATTATAATAATCCAAGCTGGTTTAGATAAAAAAAAAAAATGTCCATTGATACAATTTTTCTGAGTTTAAAAGAATGAAGAAAATAGCACCTTTTAGTTGTCTATATAAAGCCCCAAACTCACTGCGGATCCAGACATTCCTGGAGGGGAAGCGAAACGTCTTCAAACCTTTGGAAACCAAGTCCAGTGGATTGTTTTTTTACTTTTACAGAACTTTTAGTTGCTTTAAAGTAACTAAGAGTTGATTGCAGTTCAGCAACTCCTGATAAAACCCTAAAAGTACAGTGTATAATCCAAACCTCACTGCTCTGCTGCTTGTTGTTGTAAAACATAATTATGGTAACGCAATTATGTATTTCTTAGACCCAAAATTGAAAATGCATCATCAGAAAACAGCTCTTATTTTTCAAAGGAAGTGCTCCTTACAGAGCTGTAATTACTGAATGTCAGCATCAGAAATCTGGCGGCACAGATAATAATATGTTGACTCTGATAATCTGGGTGTCAGGAAAACTATCCAGCGAGGGTCTGGACAATTTCCCATGTCTTCAGGCTTTTGTGTCGCCTCTGAACAAAGACATCTCCTAAAACAGATCACAGACAGCTTGAAAATGACATTATATAACAGTGACTGTCAGTGCGGAGTTGTCGCTTTTGCTCATGACGTAAAAGTGTGTATCTACAGCTTCCAGGCAAATAGACCTCAACTACAATGCCTTTCTAATGACAGTGATTACAGAGCAGGAGACATAGAGTTTTTTTTTTTTTTCATTTTTGCAAAATTCAGCAGTATTCATCTGAACATCATTTTCTTTACAGCACATTACAGATCATTTGTTAACTTACTCACTGTTCATAAACTTTAAAATCACAAACTTAAGCTTATGTTTTTTTTTTTGTTATAACTTTTTGTGATAGAAAAACACAAATTAGTGAAATCTGTGAAATTCAAAATAGAAAAAAGTTACAAAAACGTGGTGTGTATGTATTTCCCCCCAGAGTTAATACTTTCAACACAATCTGTAGCTCTAACTCTTTTGGAGAATGCCTTCATTACATTTCCACTCCTCGTTTGAACTACTTAGCATTTTTTTGGGGGGGATCAGATTGAGTCAAACTATATCCAGAGTTTTTAAAGCTTTCAGGCTGTAGTAGACTTTTGAAATGCAGTGAACCTATTGCTGTATTTTTGGTCATTTCTTTTTTACAGCTAGGAGTCAGAAACAGCAGCAATATTGTCCATTAAAAAAAAAAAAAAGAACCATCTATGTTGTCTGATATTCTAACACCCTAAAGTCCAAGGAACAACAAGAAATCGGGTAAAATCCGTCCTTACCTGAAGATCTCTTTCTTTGTAGTAATTTCTGTGTCCTGGCACTGTTTGCAGCACAACGACGTACACTAAGGAGGAGACATAATAAACGCAAATTAGAAGCTCATATGTGTCACTCACTGTCTTTGAGAAACGTTTAGCAATGACTCTAATGCATCTCAACCCTCTGTTTAAAGTATAATGAAGGGTTATCTAACATGTTATAACATTCTTATAGGAGGAAGGAAGGAAGGAAGGAAGGAAGGAAGGAAGGAAGGAAGGAAGGAAGGAAGGAAGGAAGAAAGGTAGCTTTATTAAGCATGTGTGGCCCATTCTGTCCAGCACACTGAAGTATCCCCTGATCTTAATCAGAACAGGAATGTAATACTATGAAGGCAACCTGATTTATTATTAATGACCATCCCTCTAAAGGGGGGGTTGGGTTCAAAACATGTCTACAAAGTTTTCTACAAAGGATTGACAAATTACTCAAATGAATCCTGTAGAGCATGAGGATGTTTGTATCAACATGATGGGACTTCTAGACATTCCTCTCCTAGGGGAGACCTGTCTGCAGGACTAAACGCGTGCCCTGACACATCCAGGGCTTAAACATAAAGAAAAACCAGGGTGACAAAGACCAGATTGCTTTGTTATGTTTCATGTAAACATGTGCTAAAAGTAAAGTTAGAACAACGCTTTAACACTGTGTGCAATGCAAACCTTCCCTCTGCTGAGATTGATGAACTTCCTTCTGTTAAAATGAAATCAAACGTTATCAAGTTTATTGTTTTCCTGTTTCTCTTTTTCCGTCTCTAACTATTCCAGATTCTTCTGCCGAATTCAACAGTTCTGGTATCAAAACGGAGGGTTATGCTATATTTTTTGGTAATTTCTGCTATTATAATTTTTAAACATTAAGCTTTTCATGACATTTTTTGGCCCATCGAAATTAATGGGCTTCTGCTAAAATTCTACTAAAACTTAAGCTACTTTGCCCTTTAACTACTTCTACATACATTCAGATAGAAATACCATAAAAATGTAAAAACGTTTCCGCACCCTTCGGCAAGTAATGTTTAACTCAGCTTTTTTCTATCTTCTACAGTTTTGCTTCAGTGAAGCTTCAAACTATGTAAGATTTTTTAAAGATTTTTGGTTTTATAATGGAACTCAATGACAGAATCTTTGTGCTCCTAGAGTGAGCCACTCTAGCGCTTTCAAACATTTTACTTTTAGCAAAAAAACTTCTTACTCACCGAATGTTTAAACTACCCATACAAATTATACACCAACCATACGTATTTTTGTAAGTTTTCAGGAAATGTAACCCTCCTTTGTGTGGGATTTACAGTTTTCCTACAGTTTGATATCAATTTATTAAACATAGTTCAACACACATTTTCATCCGTTTTTTCAAGTTTTTTCAATTTCACTCATATTTCACAGGGTGCTGTGTTTTTTCAAAAACAGCCCTAAAGCTTTGTTTCTCTATCCTTCATGAATTAAATGGTGCAAGAATTATATTGATACGACTTATTATGTCAGAGTTATAGGCATTTTTTCGGCACAAGATTGTACAGTACATGCGGTGAGGGGAGACAGTGGCTGAAAAGAACATATTTTAAAATGGATGCCTCTCCCAAATTATTTAATGTACAAACATGAAACTTTGTAAGGAACATCTTCAGACCCTTCTAGCACTTATATTAAAGGAATTTTGCCATGCAGCTGGGTTGGATCTATTATAGTATTATTCTTCTGGTTTTCTGTCCTTTCTTCTCAGGCTACACGCCCATTAGAGTGTTGTGGCACATGTTGCTTTTCTAAACTTAAAAGTTTGTAAGCTTTTCTTATTGCTCATTCCTAACACTTTACCAAAGTTTGACTTTCCAAGTTTAGCTTATTTCTTATTAATTTTGTGTCCATATTTTACACTACTTGAACTTTTCAACACTTTAATTAAACTCCTGTCACACTAAGCTGCTCATTCAATATGACATTCCTCAACGTTTTAGTCTCTTAGTCTTTTTTGCTAATTTATTTACTGATTCTGCTTATTTAATACATTTCAGCCTATATTTTCAACACTGGCTTAATTCTGCTCTCTTTTTGGACAGGCTTAAAGCTTTTCTGTTTGCTGCTAATTCATAACAGGCCTTGCATGTTTCTGCTGTTGGATTCAGCTTACTTGTGTTTTTTTTTTTTAACAAAGAAATTAAGCATTTATCTTTTCTTCTATTTCATATCATTTCAGCAGTTTCTGCCAATTTCAGCTAACAGTTTAGCGTACAGCATTCTCACGGCTGTTTTGCAGGTAAAGGTTTTTTTCTAGTTTACTTAAATATCACAGTCAATCCACTCTGGATTAGATCTTCTGTTGGCTGAATCCAGGTCTGGTTTTATATGAAGTACACCAGAAAGAAAAACAGGCTCTGCAAATTGAATCTCATCACAACAGGAGAGAAACTTTGTCCACTTCTACGAGGACACAGCAGGTGGTGACCTTAGCTTACCCGGTCCATGATGTCCAGCTCGCAGCGGAGTCTCTGGATGGCGCTGCCAATCTTGAGCAGCTGGAGCCGCAGAGCGTCATCTATGGGCAGACAGGCAGCCACCCTGTAGGAGAAGTCTGACACAAACAAGGCCGAGGAAGAGAAGACGGATGACATAAAACAGGAGACAGCAAACACAGCACAAACAAAAGCCAGACATCCAGGGATGTGCATGATCGATGAGTAACAAACTGAGGAGTGGCTGACCTACGGCGTTTGTCGGGAGCGAATCATCTTTTAGATTCTCATCCCATTCGTGGAGCTGTTTTTTCACTCTGTTCATGAGGGACTCCTGTGAGGTTGACACAAAGGAAAAAAAAGTTTACATTCACTTAGGTGAGATGTTCATTTGTGAAAGATGGTGCATGTTGTGTCAGCAGCCTGCTGCACTCACAGAGTCATAGAGGGAGTACACCCAGGGTGGCCATGGAGTCAGGCTGGCACTGTGAAACTTTCTCTGTAAACGGCAACAAATCAACCGCTGGTGAATCTAAGCTATGCAGATTTTACCTGAACATCTCCAAGTTCTACTTAGACTACAGGCGTACTTGAACATCACAGAAATACATCACTATGCCTTTAAGTAGCAACTGATGCTGAGCAGACCTCTGCTATTTTTTCAAGTAGAAAAAAAAAAGAATATGAAACATGTGGTGTGCATTTCTATTCAGCCCTCCTTTATTGTGATATTTCTAAACAAAACTCAACAGACATCAGAGGTCCCCTTAAAAGTAAAAAAGGTCCATCTGTAGTAGATTTTTGAAGGCTTCTGAGGTCTGAAGGACGCCACGTAGGTGACAGGGCCAATATCTGGAGCGATTACAGAACCCTGGACATTTATTTGCAACACAAACATTGGACCAGAACCGTAGAGATAGGAGAGTTCTGCTAGCGGTTAGGTTGCTGGGGCATCCAATAGTTCAGCCCCCTTCAAAATACAGGCAGATCTGTGGCAGGCCCGATACAATTACAGAAAAGCTTACTGGTATTCCATATTGGGTTTTTTTTGTGCCTATTTCAAAATCATATTAAATTGACTAAATAATGTTTATAGATGCAACCTCCATCCATTTCTACTGCAATGCCCTGCTAACGCCTATAGTCTTGCTATCTATCCATCTAAATGGCTCTGCAATGGACATAACCTGTAACACACCATTACCATGGTGACACAGCATCATGCAGGATTGCGACTAAAATTCCTGGTAACTGACATACGCATGGCTCTCCATTAAATCTAAAAGCACATATTCACACAGACTACACTTTCAGATTCTATTTGTATTATTTTGGTATTTGTGTAGAAACTCTTCAGCAAGGTGATGTACATAAACAGTTTGTGCATCATTGCAGCTAACATCCTGTTTCCAGCTAAGGGCCCAAATCCAAACTATGAGTTGTGTGGATTTAATTTAGGTCAATCTGCAGGATACTCCAAGTGTCTAATAAATTAATTCTCCTGGTCCTGGGATGAAGCGAAACATTCATCTGACCTGCTGATTCAACCAATGCTGAGCCTGTTTACAGCTCTTAGCTCGGAGTTTGGAGGCGGGGGACATGTGGACCCTGGACAAGGACGTCAGTTGCACGACAGAGAGTGGGTCTGGCAGGATTCGTTCTGGGAGGATCTGCACTTTGGCTTGTTTGATTCTAAAAGGGACACACAAAGGGATGCATGACAGGAGGAGGTTGATGTTAGAACAAAGGCAGCAATGAGCTATTAAATGTCTAAAACTGGCATAAAACACATTTAATGCAAACTAAACTAATACAATGCAATATTCATATCATTGAAAAGCACCAAGATTTGATTTAAGTGAGCAATTGTTTAAATGCTCTCAGTTCTGGAGTTCTAACTATTATAGGAGCTTCTAACAAGATTATGACCAACAATTTATTTGAATTATACAATCAGAACTAAAAAAAGATGGAAATATTTCTTAATAAAGGCTGGTTTGTATTGGAAGGAACACAATTATTTCCTGGCTGAAAGAGGATGGTAGTTAAAATGATCTAAAACAGTGACGAAAGCCGCCTTAATCCAGAACCTCTTTACAGAAAACAGAAAAATAGACAGACTGAAAAAAACCAGTATATCCATGCTTTATTTTATCCACCTAAAATAACTACATTTGAAAAATGTTTAAAGGGATGTTTAATTATTTCATATCGTACCTTATGGCATGACCGGATTCTGTTTTTCTATTGGGATCTCTCCCAGTTGCTCAGATCAAAGGCATTTTTCATTTTTTGGTATTTAAGTCTCTGCTGGTGCTCAATTCCTGACAGACTGTGAGCTCATGAATACTTTTTTTTTTTTTGGCCCAATATGGCTCTTTGAAAAGTTTGGGTTGCTGACCCCTGATGTAAGAAAAATGAAAAGCAAACGTAGAGTGCAAGAAAAACATGGGAAAATAAAGAAAAAAATAGACTCTACTGCACTTGAGAACTTCTGAGGAATCACACCAACAGGTAATGTTCATTTTTAAAATGACTCAGGTTGCCATCTGGAAGAAACTACAACTGAACTCATGAAGATCATGTATGAAATCTTGAGGTGTTAGACTGCCCTCTAGCTGTGAACTAACCAATTAAATTAAGATTCAGGAAGGATAGTTTATTGAAACTTATATAGATTCCTCAGTAAATAACTTTAAGGTGCCTTATATTAAATTCAAATGCTAGATTTCAGGGTTTAGTGTCTGACCAGGGATTTTGTTCTATATTCTCTAATTAGGTTTCTATTACAACCTAATAAGAAGAATATAATACTGCACTCTGTAAGACTACTGTTATTCTGTTATTTGTGGCTCCCCACTGATCGGAGAGGGGAAGTGAAAAAAAGCATTCAGTCCCTGACTGAATGCTTTTATCCCATTATATGGGATAAAACAAACATACCCGTCTGCTTGAGTTCTTATCTCATGGACCTTAAATCTCTGCCTCCCAACAGCTTTCACTTTCACAGTTTCAATGCCATACTCCTGCTCCTCCCTGTATGCGTATATCTCCGCCGTCGTTCCAAATTCAGCCTCCGGTTCTGCTGCATCACTGCAAGCACATAAAGAAACTCTGACGGACTGTTGATCCAGAATGCCTTTAAGATTAAAACAAAGTCTAAAAAATGGCATCATTTCATTCAATATAGCAGATCCCGAATTTCCCCCACTACATGCCTGTGAGCAAGCACAGCAAAGGTCCGGTCCTTCTGAATAACGCTACGCATCATGCTGACTTCCTGCGGCCTGAAGAGCTGCAGGGGCAGCGTCTGACCCGGTACCAGCATCACGGCTGTGTGAGGCAGCACAGGGATGGTCTGGCAGCTGTCGTCATCATGCACTGTGCGCCCGTGAAACTCCTCCATGTCTGAACCCAGGTACTACAATCAAAGGGGTTAGCATTTATAAAAAAAAAAAAATAATAATAATAATATTTAATAAAAGGAAACAAAATTTAACAAGAGGCTTGTGGTAACTGTGGAGGAACAGAAGGAATACACAGCTCAGGTGAGAAAATCTGTCATTTTGATGGACATTCGCTATGGAAAAATGTATGGGATAAGGGAAAGAAACTTGGTGAAACTAGGTGAAAACAAAAATCATAAAGAATCCTGTTTGTAGTTTGCAACTAGCTATGTGGTAAAAATAGCATCAATAGGTAAAAGGTTGCATCAAAAAACTAACCCTGCATATCCCCCTGAACACATCATCCCCACTGTTTCACATAGTGGTGTCAGCATGATGCTGTGGGATGCTTTTCAAGAACAAAATGGGAAAATATTGATGGAGTATAGATTGAAATAAACAGATCTGTGAAGATCCTTAGTCATCCAGGTCATCGTGAAGCTTGAAAGGTTCCGTTTAGGCAACCGGACATTTTGCCTCTCATCCAAGAGGCTTCTTCAGTTCTAACTCATGATGGGGAGCACGCTCTTCAGAGTGGTTTCAGTCACAAGCCTCATTGAAGTGTGAGTCAGGTGAGGGCAGGTGAGAGGTGATTCTCCTGGGTATTGTTCCTAAAAGTGCTTTGTAAGTAGGATGAGGGTTATGTCTAAGACCACTGCCTCAGTTTAGAGATATTTTTTCCAGGTTAACCATCTTTCTTCCTTAGCAATAATATGGACAATATTGTCCACCTACAGTAATAAATAAATAAATCTCAGTACTCCCTGCAACTAGTTAGAACTGAAGAAGCGTCTTGGGTGAGAGACGAAACTTCTTCAAGAAAACTTCACATCCAAATGCCTAAACTGAAACTTTCAAGCTTGATGGATATAAAAAGAACTGAGTTATAAAAGAAAACCAATTAGAGGCTGAAAAACCTTTGAGCCAGGAAAGGCCCCACATTATATTCTGGGGTTTAAACATATATTGCATGTATATGGTACATATCAATTGTACTATAAACGTATTATTTCTTTAGCTTTGTTTATTTTATATGTTTACCATCTTCGTTTAAGGAAATGTGGATGGAGGGGGAGGAACATTTTACAATAGAAGCCTAAAAAAAAGATTTGCAGAAAGGAGTGATGACGTGAATCATCAGCTGCTGCTCACAGCATGAGATGTGGGAAGACTGGGGTCAAAGGTGATCACGTTGGGCTTTTCCGCCTCGTCGCTGTCTCGGTCCTCAGTCTCCATGTTATCTTCCTCCTCTTCTTCCTCGTTGTCTGTCCAGTAATTGAAGACAGGGAGAAGTGAGTTAGTTCTCTTCTGCATCATCACTCATCCACAGCTACTGAAACCTGTCTATAAGAGCCAGAGGGCTGCTTTCAAAAGGTAAACAAAGAGAGAAAGTGAAAGGGATCAGAGATGGAAGAGTGGTGGCTGTAGAAGCTGAGGATGGCCTGGGTTCAGGCTCTTTTATCAGGAGGAGGACATGAACCGTCTCCTGCTGACCCTGTCAGAGCTTTCTCTGCAGCTCATGGTTACCTGCTAGAAGCTGCAGGTGGTTCCCCATGTTGTTGTTAACGTTATCTTCGCCTCCGCCTCCCTCGTCAGCCATATCCCCTGTGTTTACAATGCCGATTCTTCTTCTACGGCTTCTTCCCTGTGCAGCGCCAACAGGAAGGCAAGGGCGCCACCTGGTGAAGGCAAAGATGAAACAAACGAATTCTTGTCAGCATTAAAAAAACTGGGTCAATAATAATTTATTTAATATTTTTACACTATTTTATTATTTGTATTATTATTTCAACTAAAAAGGTTAAAAAAATTGAACCCATTAAATTCTTAATTAAATGTCCTTAAACATCCTCTATATCAGACACCAGTACTAGAGTGTCTTCTGTCAGAAGTTTCTACTAACCAGCTGCATTCCTGCCTGCAACCATCAACACAACTTGCTGAAATAAGAGTTACACTTATTTTCCAATTGGGCTGAACTGAACTATCATACAAATACTAGCAATCCTATTGTGTTACTATTAATAACTATCATAGAAAGCATAAAAAGAGTAAACACAATTAAAAACAATAGGAAAATGAAAGTAATGAAATAAGACATTGAAATGACCACATTTTCCCCACCCCCTGAGTGTGACATTTTGTCGCATACTAAATACCACCTTTAATCTAGTTAATTCACAGTCCAAGTCCTTTGGCACAGAGGTTGGTCTTCGGTTGTTAACGTTTTGTTACCGATTCGTACTCAAATTTTTCTCTGAACTACGACTAGGCTATTCCACCACATAAATATGTTCTGGTAAGCTCAGGATCACTGGGAGCAAAGCCTCTATTCCAGTATTAAGTTTTTTACAGGAATATGCAGGTTGTTCCTTTACTGAACATCATCAACTCTGACTTCCCCTTTCCGGCATCCCTGCAGCATGTTTCCAACTATTTTCCAACAAAAGCTGTCTTTCAATTAACAGCTGTGTTTAAGCTGATATCAAATAATTACACCAATGTTAACCTGGTTTGGTAGTTGGATGAATTGTGAAGACATATTGCAGTTCCAGATTTTATTGGGGGGTATCAGAGTAAAGGGCATGAATACAAATGTAAAACTAGTTTTCTCATCTGATGGTTGCACAATTTATTTAACCCTGTAATGCCAAATGTATCGTATTTGATACATACGGTTTCTGAAATGTTTTGCATCTGACACCTTTTGCATAATTTAATGGTAAAAACTTTGCTCAAAATCCTATTGTACACAATCAGATATACCTGATAACAGAGGGCAGAAGACTACCCAAAAAATAATCTTGACTTATGGCTTAGTAATAAATTATTAGTATCAAAAATTTATTTGTTTTTTTCTTTTTGCATGTTTTGTTAAAAGGCAAAATAAGGACTTCAAACAAAAAAAAAAGTAATTTTCTGTTTTGTTTTATTCTTGAATCGGGCTTTAAAGGGTTAATGTCCCTCTGAACAGCCAAAGCCATGTAGTCTCTCTGCTTGACCTAAAGCTATTCAACCTAAACATAGTACTGAGCTCATTTGAGAACCTACATTTTGCTCATTAGATAACTGTGCAGAAATACTAATTGAATCAGGAGCTTCAATGTTCCCGATACTCTACAACCTAAGAGTATCAGTTCAATTAACAAGTTTTAAACATACCATCATTTGGACCCATGTTTTCTTTCAGGAAAAGCTATGATTTAAATTAATATATTTTAAGCTAATAAATTCACTGAAATAATTCTCAGGATATTAATTGATCTCCATGCCTTGGCCCCAGCCTTTAGAAGCTTCCCTGACTTTCACTTGTATAGGCCAAGTATAATTTTAAGGTCATACATGAAAAAGTCAGAACTGTTACTTGCCAATTAGCCTTAACCTCATTATAGTTGGTAATTTTGCATTTATAAGCTCAGTTGTACTTATTTGCTTATATTCTCATGTTTTCCTATGCTATGGTATTCTAATTAATGTAATTATGAAGGAAAAAAAAAAAAAACTTCCTTCAGGTCTTGATATGGTTCTGACTTCAAAGGGAGGCAGTCAGCCATCACCACCCTTCATACAATCGTCTACAGCACAGGTACTGCATGGGGGGGGGGGTCAAAAGTTCAGCTTGACTTTTTGTATTCCCCCCTGCAATTTTTGCCACTTATTGAAATGTCTTTATACTCACATTTATTCACACTGTAGTAAACAGATAAATGGAGGCAGATGTGCATTCAGCAACAGCTCTTTCAAGCTGAGCTGGGCACCGTTTCATTCACATCTATCCCATCAACCAGGAATCAAATACTTTCATCCCAGGGTGAAATTACTTTTGTTACATTACTCCTGGAAACCCAGTCAAGTGAAAAGGCCCATTTCCTTTAGTTTTACTCAGGCTGCCAATTTTCCCCCCTTTCTGTATTAGTCATAGGTCAAAATTTAAAACCAAGGGTTGAACCATTCAGTGTGCCAAGATCTAAGATTCATTTCCTGACATTTTATGATTTAGAAGACAATCTCATCCATCTTATAGAGACATTTTCCATCTCAAATCAGCTACCATGAAACCTGATTTCAATGAATGAGGCATGACTGTTTTTGAAATTTAACAGTGTTCATTTATTGTTCAATACACCACATAACAGTTTGCAAGTAAACAAGTATCATGGTCCATGAACAATGCAGCTGCACATCTGATATCCTTCCAGCATCTTTGCCTTCTTCCACTAATGCATCCACAGCTTGCCAGTTTCAGATGGAAAAGAAATCAGGACTTGACACAATTTCAGCAGATGCTTCAAGAGAGCCACTTCCTGGGTGAATGTGTCCATAGATGTGGAGAAGCTCAGATGGGGGTCACAGCTGGCAGGGATGAGGGCTTACTTTGACCTCTGCCTCATCTTTCTCCTTTTACGCTTCAGTCTATTGGAAAATAAAGAAAACCAGTTTACTTTCACTTAAAAATACATCGTCAAAATCTGATCAAGCAACTCTTATGTTCACCCTTAAAAGTATTAGTTATCAATATGCTTGAATAAAGAACCCCCAAACAATGGAACTTTGTTCATACGGTAGGGCCAAATCCATCGATTGCAACGTTCTTTAACAGCAGTCTAAATGCAATTTCTTTGGCCCTCAGGTAATATAATTTTAGTTGTAGGCCATCGTTCCCTTCTGCAGTTATGACCTTCATGCTCACTCTTCACGAGTTTGAATTAAACACTAGACATTTTGTACCATCCATGAATCAGTTTACAACCAATTCAAACCTATGTCTATTGGCTGCTATAAGATAAAACATTTAATCCTCAACTATATTTTCCACCTGGAGGCCACCCAATTACTAAGCAGTTTGTGGGAGGTTTTTTCACTGTTTAAAGAATACTCTGATACAAAAAACTAAGGGGAATAAAACACAGCAGCAGGGAACAAATTGAATTTTGCTATAAAAAAAAAAAGCAAAGAGTTTAATTAAACCCCCTTTCAAAGTCACCCATATCATGCATGAGTCTCCCCAACTTGTCTCTGCTAGGGAAGTTGGATTAAAGTGCATCATGCAAGTAGGACATTTGAGTATTGCAGAACATCGAGGATTTAAGTTTGAAGGCCTGTGGTTTAAATGCTACCAGAGTCTGCTTTACAGCTACAGGCTCACCTTAGAACTTCCATCTTTAATACTGGGGTATTTTAGAGTTCTTTAGCATGCCAAAAGGTTTGGCAAAGGCTTTGTTATCAGGGAAGGGTTTTTCATTTGAAGAAATTAGCAACTCAATTTTAAGTATAGTTTTTCAATTACTATATGGGAAAACTTTGTTTTCCTATGCCCTATAAAAAGTGCAGCATTTCTCCTAAGGCAGTGGTTCCCAAAGATTTTCTTCTGGGCCCCCCTTTGGATTACAATAAAATTTCCGCGCCCCCCCTAGGGGGCGCGCCCCACACTTTGGGAACCACTGTCCTAAGGGGTCTCTTTCTGGACACATTCTATGCATCTTTATTTCCTTTACAGTGTACTGTGGTCTTACATTTGTACTTCATTGCTTATTAGCCTCTGCTTTACTACAGTCAGCTGAATTACCCCACAGTAATTTAACTTATTCATTTGATTCAGGTGTGTTGGAGCAGGGATGCATTTAAAGCAGGGGTGTCAAAGTGGTTCCAGAAAGGGCAGTGTGGCTGCAGGTTTTCTTTCCAACCAAGCAATAGCACACCAGACTCCAGTCATCTAATCAAAGGAGTCCAATCTGAACACGATGACTTGATGAGATGAATGGAGTCTGGTGTGCTATTGCTTGGTTGGAAAGAAAACCTGCAGCCACACTGCCCTTTGTGGAACCACTTTGACACCTGTGCATTTAAAGCCTGCAAATCTGTAGTTCTAGAGTTTCTGTAATTCTGAACCTACAAGGGTTGTACATTTGTCTTTTTTACAGTTAAGGCATTAAAAGCAGGATGCAATTAATACACTTTGTCAACATTTTCTACAGGCCATTAAATTAGAAAAACCATCTACTCTTCTAGTACAGGAACTCATTATAAACCACTCTACATGACATTTTCCTTAACCTAAAATGTACGTGTTAAGGAATGTTATGTTTAAACATTTGATGATATCGACATGACTACATTGGATGATTGAACTTTACCCATTATAGCTAATAAAGAATGACATAACTGCAATAATAAAATTGGCAGTATAAATGGATTGACGGTTAAAAGCTTACCTGCGCATGCGCTTCTTTCTCCACTAAAACGAAATAAACAGATTGAGTCAGCATAGTTTGATACTAAAGTAGTAATTAGGAAAACATGCTTTGTACAAATAGCATTTAGAGCTTTAAATATAACAAAAATAAAACATGGCGTTCCTCTTGCTAACAGCATGCAGTGAAGCAAGGGCCTTCTAATGCAGATATCGACATAGCTGGGAATTAAGTACCAGACTTTAACATCTAACATTAGCAATAAAGCAAAGAAATAGCAGCAGTGAATACTTTAAAGAAACGTGCTAACCGATAGGGCTCGAGTAAGCAGCAGAGGTGGAACAAGCTAGCAGCACAAAATACGACAAGAAACTTTCCTATAAAATACAAACACTGCTTCTTAGTCTTACCTTGGCTCTCATCGTGTGGAGACCTTTCTGTGAAAATGACACAAACAACTGGTTAGCAACTG